GCAGCAGCAGTAGGAGCCTCTTCAGCAGCAGGAGAAAAAAGTCGCTAAAAAAAAAACATTTTCTATGGGTTTCAGAAGTTACATTAGGCATTTTTGGGGTGCAATTTCGGAGCCTTTCCGTCCTTCACTGCCATGGGGATTTGCCGCTGGGAGTGGTTCGCTTTTAGGCGTCGCAGCTAGCCACCAGCAGCAGCAGCAGCAACAGCAGCAGCAGCAGCAGCAGTAGGAGCGTCTTCAGCAGCAGGAGAAAAAAGTAGCTAAAATCATCATTTTCTATGGGTTTCAGAAGTTACGTTAGACATTTTTGCGGTGCAATTTCGGAACCTTTCCATCCTTCACTGCCATGGGCATTTGCCGCTGGGAGTGGTTCGCTTTTAGGCGTCGCAGCTAGACACCAGCAGCAGCAGCAGCTGCAGCAGCAGCAACAACAACAACAACAACAACAACAACAACAACCATGTGCCACCTCTGCTGTGCTCTCGACAGTCCATAAGCTTCAGGGTTAGGCTGCAATTTTCTTAGATCAAGTCGTGTCTTTGGTACCGGAGCATACTACTTGCCAACATTTTGTTCCACATCTTTTCCCGTTTGGTTTTTTTGTGCGCTACCCGTATGCGGCCAAAGCGTTTCGTGCTTTGCACTTCTGTTAAACATGATGGACACTGATGTGTGAAAAAGCTCTGAATCACTGTGCCACCGCGAACACGGAAGCGGACACCACAATGCTGTTGTTTCGCATCAACTTGTCCATCAGTGACAGTACTACGGACCTGTGTCTCACAATGAGGACATATATATTCATAGACCGGCTTTCTCTGCAAGATAGTAGTTGCTTCCGGGGTCGGCGGCAGGGGCGGCAGCCCTTAAAATAATGATCCATCAACAATGGTGTTGGTCTCTGCACAGGTGTGTCCCATTGGAGTTATGCAGACTTCAAACATCTTCAGACTTGACGCATGATATGGTGATCTTTGCAAGATGGTTTCATGACAGGCACCAATGAGGCTGCACTGACCGATCACAAGAATCCACCTGCCCTGCTAATCCTGCGCGCCTTGCCCCCCTCAGCCTGTTTTTGCTTCTCTTTCTTGAGCCTCAGCGGCACGCTCCCCTTGCCGCTTCCAAAAGACACGTGGCATCTGCTGCGAAGGGGCATCAACATCTTTCGAAGCTTTGAAGCATGATCATCCTGGGAGACGGGTGCAAGAGTGGATATGTTTTCCCTTACATCTCTCCTTGATAATTTTGCAACTGTTTTTTGTGTTTTTTGCATGCGAGAGTTGTTGGGGGCTTTGTTCGGGGAGCTTAGCTAGAAAACTTCCCCGTGTGGGGGACTTGGCACACTCCTGGCAAGAAATAAAGGTTCTGGCGATGTTTGCTGAACCTCTTAATCTAAGGGGAGTCGTTAGGGAGGTGATTTCTGGAATTTCACAGAAATGTTTCAAAAGAAAATTGGCGTCTGGGAAGTTTGGGCTTTGGGAGTTTCTTAAGGGTTTTGCCCCCCAAGAAAAAACATGAGTTCCGTACAAAGTCTCGGGAAGTCCCCTTAGAATTTGGGAACCCTATTCAACATCGCCAACATCAGCTCTCATACACTTTGCAAAAGAAAGATACATTAGGCCCGTGAAATCATGCGGGTGCTGGTACTCCAGTTACAGATCAAGGGACAAATTGCATGTGCAAAACGTTCCCCCCCCAAAAAAAAAATAAGATAGATCTAACATCGGCAATAACACCAACGTTGTTTGCCGAGGTGCTAGCTCGGGCCCGGGTGCTTTCTTGGCATCATCAGCCCCTCCTTCTCGTTGCTTGTTCATCAGCCTCTCTTTCAGCGATTCCTTGGGCGAAACCTGCCCCGACCTGCCTGAGTCTCCCAATAATCGCTTAGCCACTCAAATGGTGGCATTGCTTACCCAAAATTGCCAACCGTTTGCCCAAATCGGTCCCAGGTGGTCTGCAATGCTCTGGGGGGCCAGGGATGCCACCGCTTGTGCCGTACATACCAAGCATCTGCGTGGGCGGTTTCATCGTCTACAAAGTCGGATCTGCCGCCCTCCTGGAAGCGTCCAAGTCTGGATGATCTGTGCCGATGATGTGCCGTGCCAAAATTGCAGTTGCACTCAGTACGCCCAAGTTTTTTGTCACCAAAGCCTACCTGCCGGAAAGATCCGGAAAGAATCATTTTCTTTCTCTCTCTCTCCCTCTATCTCTCTGCTCTGAAACCTTGTGACAAACTCGAGGGTGGAGAGACTCGTAGTGGACCATTCTCTCTCCCAGTTATCAACTAGCGTTCAATCTTCCAGCTCTTCAAGGTGATCTTTCAACCCTTGGCAGGACCATCTCCAGTCCTCTCGTCTGAAGCTTGGCTTGCCTTTCCCCCTGCCTAGTTCAAAGCCAGTCGAAAAAACATGGCAGTCCCCAGACTTCATCGAAGCGACGGGAACTCGACTGATGCCAAATGATGCCAAGCTGCTGGGCCCGACCGACTTGTTCTTGCCATATTTGCCCTTGCCAGGACTGGCCTTGCCCATGGCTCCAGCTGTGCGAAACGCACCAGGGCAAGTCTGTTGTGGCTGAAACTCCTTCAGTATCTGTGTGCAAATCTCATTCCATATGCGCAGCGGTCTCTGTGATGAACTCATCAACATACCACATCTGGCTTTGTCGGTGGTTGCCTGAAAAATAGGCACTCCTTAATCCATGGGTTAATCACATGTTCCCTTTTCGGAATTGACATTTGCGAGTAGGTACAGTATACTTCATGTTCAGGCACATCCATAACGTGGTTGGATTTTTGTTGCCTATCTCCGGCACAAAACCTCCAAGTGTCAAGTGTCTTCCCATGATGACTGCAATAATGGAGCCTTAAAATGTCAGGCCAAAAACGGAAAAAAAGAAAACATCTCAAAGCATCTGAAAGCAGCAAGATCAGCCACAAGAACAAAACCCTGCAGCTTTAGCTCGCAAAAGTTCTCTGAGTTAGTCTAACTTGTTTTTTTTTCCTCGCTCTGATTCGTGTCCGTTCGTCGTCCCTAGCCTTCCTGAAGCGAATCAATGGTGTCAAGGGAGTCACCACTTCCTAGGTCATTCAGAAGACCATCTTCCAATTCACCCATGTCAAGATCGTCCAAGAAGGCAAGCTCATCGTTTGCCCTAATGCCATCTTCGAACTTGGTCGGTCCATCGGACTCTTCGAACTCGGTTTTTGTTTCGTCCAAGGAAGGCTCGGAGTCGGAAAGGAAATCCTCATAATCCTCCCACTTTCCGTTCAGCTGCAAGGCCCAATCCATATGTTCTCCCATCTGCTCCTCCTCTGACCATGCTGTGACCCTCAAGTCTTCACCTGCCGTCCAGTTGCTGAGCATCAACCTAATTTTTCTCGGTTTGTCACTAAAATGCCACCCAAAAAAAAAAAAGACATTTGGATACATTTGGAAATGAAGTCCGAATGCCAAAATCCCCAGATTTATATACCCAGCAAAAACATCAAAAACTCGGTCCCGACCTGGACTTAACTCGAAGAAATCTGGCACTTCGCACTCAGAGACGAATCCTGACAGTGTGACCCTCTTGCGCTCTGGCTGTGGTCCTTTCCTCAGTCTACCATTCTGGGCGTTTTTTGTTGATCGAGTCAACTTGCAGAAAATTGATCAAGCTGGAAAAGACCATGCAAGACCATCAAAGCACAAACTGAGCCTCGGACTCGCCATGTTTGACCTCTTGAGCATTCATTGAAAAGCGGTAACCACAAGCTCCATGACCGGGTACTCGAAAGATTCTCCTGGGAACGCGATGGCATGCCACAAATTCAATGCGCCACTGGAACCCAAGGGATCGGAATTGACCCCAGGCAATAAATATGTATGTATGTATGTACGTACGTACGTACGTATGTATGAATGAATGAATGAATGTATGTATGTATGTACGTACGTACGTATGTATGTATGTATGAATGAATGAATGTATGTATGTATGTGCGTATGTGCGTATGTGCGTATGTGCGTATGTGCGTATGTGCGTATGTATGTATGTATGTATGTACGTACGTACGTACGTATGTATGTATGAATGAATGAATGAATGTATGTATGTATGTATGTGCGTATGTGCGTATGTGCGTATGTGCGTATGTGCGTATGTGCGTATGTGCGTATGTATGTATGTATGTATGTACGTACGTACGTACGTATGTATGTATGAATGAATGTATGTATGTATGTACGTACGTACGTATGTATGTATGAATGAATGAATGTATGTATGTATGTACGTACGTATGTATGTATGTATGAATGAATGTATGTATGTGCGTATGTGCGTATGTGCGTATGTGCGTATGTATGTATGTATGTATGTACGTACGTACGTACGTATGTATGTATGAATGAATGTATGTATGTATGTACGTACGTACGTATGTGCGTATGTGCCTATGTGCGTATGTATGTATGTATGTATGTATGTACGTACGTACGTACGTATGTATGTATGTATGAATGAATGAATGTATGTATGTATGTATGTACGTACGTATGTATGTATGTATGAATGAATGAATGTATGTATGTATGTGCGTATGTGCGTATGTGCGTATGTGCGTATGTGCGTATGTGCGTATGTATGTATGTATGTATGTATGTACGTACGTACGTATGTATGTATGTATGAATGAATGAATGTATGTATGTATGTACGTACGTATGTATGTATGTATGAATGAATGTATGTATGTGCGTATGTGCGTATGTGCGTATGTGCGTATGTGCGTATGTGCGTATGTATGTATGTATGTATGTATGTATGCATGCATGCATGCATGCATGCATGTATGTATGTATGTATGTGTGTTTATATCAATGTATAGTATATTTATCTAAACGTATGTTTATAAATGTATGTTTATATAAATGTATGTTTATATAAATTTTTGTTTATATACATGTATGCTTGTATAAATGTTGGTTTATTTAAATGTATGTTTATGTCAATGTATTTTTTCAAAAATGTATGTGTATATAAAAATGTATGTTTGTATAAATGTTTGTTTATATACATGTATGCTTGTATAAATGTTGATTTATTTAAATGTATGTTTATATCAATGTATTTTTTAAATAAATGTCCGTTTATTATATAGATGTATGTTTATATGAATGTATTTTTATGTGAATGTCTGCTTATATAGAGGTATGATCTTTACATTTATATAAATATACATATATATCATTATATATCTATATAAATATATGTGTGTAATTACATGTGTGTGTGCGTGTCAGTGCGTTTGTGTGTGTGTGTGTTTGTGTTTGCAGAAATAGATACAATATATATATATAATAGAAGCATTTAGATATATATATATATATATATACATATAGATAGATAGAGAGAGAGAGAGAGTGCAGAAATGGGGGATACTGCAGATACCTCAAAATAATGATTTCGGAAAGCCATAAGCCAAAAAAACGAGATCTGCAGAAAAGTCACAGCATTGCGTTCATAAATTTCCGCCCCACTGCATAAACCTAGGCTGGGAGAACTGGTGATTTGACATCAGGGAAAATTCAGCTGTGCATCCCAGTTGACTCAGTTAGTGACGTGGCTGCAGCTGGGGGCTGGCGCAAAATTCAGCCCCTTGAAAATGTCAAAAGTCACTAGGGACCATCGAAGCATCATCCCGGCACTAACGGCTTTTTAAAAAAGTTAAATCTGCCTGCGTTGGATCTGGCCAAGCAACCCAGTCAACCACCACCTCTTTGGCAAAGAGACTTACAACGAGACTCGCCTCCGGAGCTGACTGAAGAGTATCCCATCTCCAATCTCACTGAAGTTTGTCATGTGAGGTGAACAACTCGGAAAGTCTATAACAAATCCTGCCAGACTCTCAGAGATGTTCTTCTTTTTCCAGCTACAATTCCCATGCTGCCCATTTACCCAACACCTCGAGGAGCTGTCAAAACTACTATAGATCTTCAACCTTCGTTGCACCTCAACATGCTCCTGGCCTTCCCCAGCAGTTCTTTGGATGTTTCAAGCAAGCCAGCACTGCAGTGAACGAAGGCGGATGCTTCCTTCTTTCCGCAGGAATCGTAGCACATACAACCACCTCAGACAGATTCTTACGTGCACAAGCCCTCTCCCAATACAACACCACATGAGACATGGGAATATGAAGCCCGAAAAAAAAATACCTGACCTAGCTCCGGCGTCCAACATCCCAGCCCCTGAATTCGCGGCCAAACCTAACCTGCCGCGCAAGCAAGTGGCATTTTGCCTTTCGAAGCGCTTGCTTGAACTTGACAACCTCTTGCCTCCTGCAGGTTCGAGAAGTTTCATCACTCCACCAGCCACGCAGGCGGGAAAGGCAAGGGAGGATCCTAAGAATGAATGACTATGACCCTGGGTGGGGCAGTTTATGAGTCATCTGCGGGTTGCGCTCTTTGTCGTCGGGTCAAGCTTGATGTTAAAGGCCATCCATTTCTTCCATTGCCTGCACATGGGGAGGGAAAAGAAACACACAAATCATTTCACCGACAAAATTCACCACGAATATCACAGGTCACTGCACCCAGCATGCCTCACCACGGCGCTCTTTTCGTGGGCGAAAGTGGCCGCGAACACTTTGGTCTGAGTTTTGATATGATAGAATCACAGAGTGCTACCATATCCACAGAATGTTCATGAAATGGCCTTCTGTTGCTAACTTTTAGGGATTCCATATGATTCCAGGCTAATCGCTTGCAACATGGTGCAGCTGTGGCGGAAAAAAAACTATGCCAAAACACCTCTTCACTGATGCCCATGCGTTGCAAGTCTTCATTGGGCCTCGATGCGGGCAAGGCGGGCCACACTGCCGCAGCCAGTCGTTCTACTGTTTTGGGGAAGGGTCCTCGAAAGCTGGCCCATTGCTCCCAAAATTGGTCCAAAAATGCTCCTACAAAATTGTCGAAGGGTGCACGGCCGCTGAAATGCATCCCAAGTTCATCCCACCCAATGCACCAGGCGAGCAGAACTTGGTGTCAAAAATGGAGTTGAGATTCGTCATGATCTTGTCAACTCCAACCCTTGGCCGCAGCTGGAAGTTGCACAAACTCTGGCATAATCTCAACACCAGATTTTAAAACACTGGTTCACTCTTGGGATATGCATCCCAAAACATGAAGTTTAAATTGATCAATCAATGGGTTTGGTTGAGTAATTGGTTTCGCAATGTGTCCCATATAAATCATATTGTTGCAATCTGCTCCCCCCAGATCAACCCAGGGGTGTGAAGCCGAGCTGCCCATCTGGCACCTCGGACAACGACAACACCACGGGCTCCAAAATTTGGTTCCATCACTGTCACTTGTCTAAGATAAGAAGCACAGAGTTGAAAAAGTCTTGTCAAAAAATGGATAGCAAACACCCAAACAGTGCTTGCACTGCACTTTCGAAACGTGTTTGCATCTGTGGAGGCTTGACCTGGATCCACAGCCACACGGACAATCTCCCCGCACTCGATTCAGGCGCCAACCTTCTCCCCGATTTTTTTCCTTTCGAGAGTTCGGACACGCATTTTGACGAAGGCTGCCTGCAAGACTTTCCTTAGCAGCTTTCGTCAAGGGATAGGATGGAAATAACTGCATCATATGCCTCCACAAAATGCTACTCTTTCCAGGTTGTTCAATATTCAGTCTCCTAATCGCAACAACAGTGTCCATTAAAATCATTTGCCCGATACTATAAATGGCAATAATCTCACCCTTTTGCGGACTGGAACTGCTTCCTGCAATCCGTTGTCCAAAACGTCCAAGACTCTCCCAATACTTCGTTGTTTGGGCCCAGTCGACCTTGGATCCAAGTGGCAAATCTTTGAAGCGTTTTAATTTTACAATTCAAGGAATCTATATATTGCATATACACCAATAGACTATATATCATATAGGGATATATAGAGATATATGTTTAAAAAAAAATGCTATTTAAATATATATGTATATATATATGTCTATAGGCGTTTGATACCTCGATTCACTGGTTGGTATTGACAGCACACGTTCATTTGCACTATTTTTCTAAATTTATCGGCCCCTTTTTGAGTTCCCAACATATGTTTTGTTCTTCCCCATCAAGGCATCAACGATGGTCGGCCACGTGGAGAGAACGCCTGCCTGGCAATCATCAATCCAGTTTGATGATGGAAAGTAATCAAACCATGAAAAAAATAAAAAGGAAATTTGTTGATTGATGAAGAAAAAACTGAATGGAACATATGGGAGCAATGGTTGGTCGATGATGAACATTGGATGGAAATCGGATTAAAAATATGGAAACAATGGTTGGTGCATGATGAACATTGGATGGAAGATTGGATGGAAAATAGGGAAAGCTGGTTGGCTCATGATGAACATTGGATGGAAGATTGGATGGAAGATTGGATGGAAGATATGGAAAATGGTTGGTTAAAGATGAACATTGAATGGAAGATTGGTTTGAGAATATTGGACATTGTTCATTGGTGATGAGCATTGGATGGAAAATTTTATGGAAAATCGGACAATGGTTGGTTGACGATGAACATTGGATGGAAAATCGGATGCAAAATAAGAACAAATGGTTGGTTGATGAGGAGCTTTGGGTGGAAAATATGGGAGATGGTAAGTTGATGGCGAACATCGGATGGAAATTTAAATGGAAAATTGAAAAAAAAAAGTTGGTTGATGACGAACATTGGAAAGAAAATTGAAATTTGGATAGAAAATATTGGCAAACAATGGTTGGTTGATGATGGCCATTGGATGGAAATAGAAAACGGTTGGTTGATGATGAACATTGGATGGAAAATTGGATGGAAAATATGGGAAACTTGGTGATTGATGGTGGTAAACTAGATGAAAATTAGATGGAAAATATAGGACAAATTGCTGGTTGGTGATGAACATTGGATGGAAGATTGGATGGAAAATAGGGAAAGGTAAAAACACCCCACGCCCGGAGCACTTTTGGAAGTTGGGAAGTTCAAGAACTGCATGCGGCTGTGGCGCAAAGCACATTCCGAAGTCAAAATGTTAAAACCGCTTCAGGTTCGGAGCACTCTTGGCAACGAGGCCATCAAAAAAGTGCACGCGGCTGTGGCGCGAAGCACATTGCGGAGTCAAAGATGGTTGGTTGGTGGTGGTAAAGTGGCTAGACTTAGATGGAAAATATGGAAAATGGTTGGCTGATGATGGTAAACTGGATGAGAAGTAGATGGAAAATATGGGGACATGGTCGGTTGATGATGACCATTGGATGGAAGATTGGATGGAAAATGAGGAAAATGGTTGGTTGGTGGGAAATATCGGAAAATGCTTGATTGATGATGGTAAACTGGATGAAAATTGGTTGGAAAATGATGGAAAACCATCAGCAAAACAATCCTTCCAGCCTTGCTGCTGGCATTGGCTGCCCGCCACAGCAGATTCCTCACCGGCAAGTTTTGGCCAGCAAAAATGAATCCATGTCGACCCCCAAAACCATGGGACCCAGGACCCTGGATTTGAATCTCTAGGTTTTAGTGCAAGGAACCCCCAAACATGGCACTCCCAAACGATTACAGACCTGTCCAAACATGGAAACATAGACCAAGATTTTCCTAAACATTGACGCAGGGCCCCACAGACGCTGATACCCGATGAAGTCCAAGATTCCACTGGTAGATGTCCTCTTCTGGGGTGAGCTCCCAAACTTCAGATTTCGCCATCTTGTCCCAAAAGGTGGCGAGCCTCGGACCGCGCGAACTTCGCATTGCCAGTGAAAAGTGGTATCTCACGGAGGGCAAAAAATTAAAGGTCCGGATAACCCCACAAGTCAACTTCTTCCAATAATCAGAAACAGCGGTTGAAGCGGTACAGAGAAGGCAGGAAAAACAAAGGGCATGGTGGAGGATCGATAATTTCAAAAGTTGTATGTGAAAGAGTTGCGTGTGTGTGTGTGACAAATTAGTATGTCCAAGTTGTGTGTCACAGGTTTGCGTGTGACAAAGTTGTGTGTGACAAAGTTGCGTGTGAAAATGCTGCGTGTGAAAGGGATGTGTGTGTGTGTGGGGGAAAGGGTTTTGCCCTTAAAGGGCAGTCGGTGGAAGAGGTGTGTGTAAAAAGATGCCGCTTGTGGAAAAAAATGTGTGTGTGTGTCAAACCCTCTCTACTAAGGGCAAAGAACGTTGTGGGATGTTCAGTTTTGTGTTTCTTACTTAAGCAGGGGGCCGCAGGCCTGTCTTTGACGCTGCGGCCAACGAAGACCGTCATTGACAGGTGTGTAAACGTACCTGCTAGGGATGCTCCTGGGCGCAATGGTCGCAGCTGGGGGTCCCACATGAATCCACCTTTAAATTCATGTATCAATGTTGGTTTATCAGGACGTTGGGCACATGATGCCCATGTATGTATGGTTTTTCAAGACTTGCAGAATGAGACTTGATGACGCAGTAGGCGACCTCCTCACCAGTTGGGGACGGATACAAGTGTGTGGGCGTGTGTGTGTGTGTGACAGAGATGCTTGTTGAAGAGGAGTTTGTGAGAGGGCTGTGCGTGGAAGGGACGTTTGCTGATGTATGTCTGAGAGCGGGGCGTGAAAGAAAGGCGCATTGAAAGTATGATCTGTAGCCAAACAAAGCGTGCCAAGACCATTGGTTGTTGGCACCATGCAGTTAACTTCTCCGCCTCCGAAGGTCGATGCCACCAAGTCCCACGGATAACGACGTCGATGTCGCTAAATGTGAAGCCTGCCACAAAAAATGCAGCGTTGATGTCACCAAGTGCCACGCCTGCCACCCGCAGCGCCCAACCGGACCAACAGCGGCCCAACCCAGTACCATAAAAGCCGCGCCTGCAGCAAAGTTGTGTGTAACAAAGATTGTGCATGACAAAATTGTGCGTGACAAAGTTGTGTGTGAGAGATGTATGTCAGAGAGATGTGTGTGAAAGATTGTGTGTGTGTGAAAGTTGTGCATAACAAAGTCTGACATGTGTGTGTGTGTGTGGCAAAGTTGCGCGTGTGTGTGACAAAGTTGTGTGTGTGTGTAACAAAGCTTGTTAATGACAAAGTTGTGTGTGTGACAAAGTTTTGTGAGAGATGCATGTCAGAGAGATGTGTGCAAAAGATTGTGTGTGTGTGTGACAAAGTTGTGCGTGACAAAGACTGACATGTGTGTGTGTGAGTGTGTGACAAAGTTGCGTGTGTGTGTGTGTGTGCGTGTGTGTGTGTGTGACAAAGTTGTGTGTGTGAGAGATGTATGTCATAGAGATGGATGTGAGAGGTTGTGTGTGTGTGTGTGTGACAAAGTTGTGCGTGACAAAGACTGACATGTGTGTGTGTGTGTGGCAAAGTTGCGTGTGTGAGTGTGTGTGTGTGTGCGTGTGTGTAACAAAGTTTGTGCATGACAAAGTTGCGTGTGTGTGTGTGTGACAAAGCTGTATGTGAGAGATGTATGTCAGAGAGGTGTGTGAGTGTGTGGAACGTCTGAACAGACGTAAAACTTCGCTGGCGGCTCATTATATTATATTTTTTCAAGCAGGGGATCACCGGGGTCCCGGGGGGGTCGGTGATCAACGAAGACACCTCCTTGGGACCGTGTAAACGTACCTGCTTGGGTTGTGGTGGCGCACCTGGGCGCATTTAAGTCGCAGCTGGCGGCCACCATAGCCCATATATATATACATGTATACATATATTTACACATATATATATATATACATAAATATATATATAAATCTATATCTACTCTAATTGCATGTGAGGGGATTCAGTTCCCAATGGATCACTTCAATGATCCATTTCTTGTCTAGTGTGATTTCCATGGTGGCCCCGACATGGTGCCATGGACCCTTGGGAGGGAACCCTGTTTAGGGTGAATGGGGACCGATTTGACGTTTGAATTTACACCTCTAATTCATTAATTCGTTTCAGTAATGTGAAACAGCCAGCCTTGCCATTCATCAGCCTTTTTACTGTGGCCCGCCGCTCCGGCCGTCTTTGTGAACCTTGGGAAAGTCTAAGTCTGCTTTTGGGATGCCATACTGAACAACCAGAAACCTTCGTTTATCACAGATGCTCAAGCTTTTCGCAGTGAAACATGACAAGAGCTACAAAAGGCAACAGGCATGTCCTCTTCCTGCAGGTATGGTCCTTTTGGTATTTGGTGAGGTCAAAATATTGTGCACCTAATTCGTTTGAACTTGTACTGCCGTTTAATGCCCATGTGGCCTGAACGACAACAGTCCCGTTTTGGGAGTAACACACGGCTCTCTAGGATCGAACTGAGTCCCTTCTGTAATTGCTGCTTCTTTGTTTTTCATCTATTTGATGCGTTCTTCCCTCCCCAGGTAAATTGGGTCCTGTGCGTACCTAGGTAGGCATAGGTTTTGCTGTGTTAAGTTGGCTCAGGCGCTTCCGTCTTCCCCACCCTCCGCTGGTCTTGTTCCGTGTCCGTCGGCCTCCGCTTTTCTATTTCCTTCCCATTTCAGGGTTTGCCCGCTCCGGGCCAGGTGTGTTGGTGTTGGTGTTTGCTCTTTCCCTCTTCTTTTGCCTTCCCCTCCTCGTCTCCATGTTGAGTAATCTTTCATCTCAATTTCACTCTCATCTCATCTTCATCCCCTTTTCATCCTCACCTTCACATCATCTGCAAGGACACCCGTGTGTCTGTGTGGAACGTCTGAACAGACGTAAAACTTCGCTGGCGGCTCATTATATTATTTTTTTTCCCGAGGGCGCCTGCGAAGGGTTCTTCGTAAAAATGCAGCCGTCATACTACATCTTCACACCCTCACACCTGCTGATCTACACATCTGCTGATCTACATCTTCACACCCTCACATCTGCTGATCTACATCTTCACACCCTCAAACCTGCTGATCTACATCTTCACACCCTTACATCTGCAGATCTACATCTTCACACCCTCACACCTGCAGATCTAGATCTTCACACCTTCACATCTGCAGATCTACATCTTCACACTTTCACATCTGCTGATCTACATCTTCACACCCTCACACCTGCTGATCTACATCTTCACACCCTCACACCTGCAGATCTAGATCTTCACACCTTCACATCTGCAGATCTACATCTTCACACCCCTCACACTTTCAGATCTACATCTTCACACCCTCACACCCTCACATCTGCCGATCTACATCTTCACACCCTCACACTTGCAGATCTACATCTTCACACCCTCACACCTGCAGATCTAGATCTTCACACCTTCACATCTGCAGATCTACATCTTCATGCCCTCACATGTGCGGATCTTCTCTCGCTCTTCTTTCTATCTCTCTCTTAAGGAGCGCCACGAAACGCAACCTTTTCGCACGAAATGGACGTTGGACGTAAAAAACTCAGGAAAAATTGCGATTTAACTTGTCCCGCGGCAACCCTTTCGCACGAAATGGACGTTGGACGTCAAAAACTCAGGAAAAATTGCGATTTGAGGTGTCCCCGGCAACCCTTTCGCACGAAATGGACGTTGAACGTCAAAAACTGAGGAAAAATTGCGAAAAAAGGTGTCACTTTGCAACCCTTTCGCACGAAATGGACGTTGGACGTCAAAAACTGAGGAAAATTGCGATTTTTGGAGTATCCATCGCAAGCCTTTCGCACAAAATGGACGTTGGACGTCAAAAACTGAGGAAAAAATTGTGATTTCACGGGTCCGGTTTTTATATGTGAAAGTATTTGTGTGTAAAGGAGTTTCTGTGTGTAAACGTCTTTGTGAGGAGTCTGTGTGTAAAAGTGTCTGTGTGTAAAAGCGTCTGTGTGTAAAAGGGTCTAAAAGTCTCTGTGTAAGCGTCTGTGTGTAAAAGCGTCCGTGTGTAAAAGGTGTTTCTGTGTGTAAAAAGCTTCTGTGTGTGAAAGCGTCTGTGTGTAAAAACTTCTGTGTGTGAAAGCATCTGTGTGTAAAAGCGTCTGTGTGTAAAAGCTCTTGTGTGTAAAAGCTTCTCTGTGTAAAAGGATCTGTGTGCAAAAGCGTCTGTGTGTAAAAGCATCTGTGTGTAAAAGCGTCTGTGTGTGAAAGCGTTTCTGTGTAAAAGCGCCCGTGTGTAAAAGCGTCCGTGTTTGTGTAAAAGCGTCTGTGTGTACAGGAGTTTCTGTGTGTAAAAGTCTCTGTGTGTGAAAGCATCTGTGTGTAAAAATCAAATCTCTGTGTGTAAAAGCGTCTGTGTGTAAAAGCGTCTGTGTGTAAAAGCTCTTGTGTGTAAAAGCTTCTGTGTGTAAAAGGGTCTGTGTGTAAAAGCGTCTGTGTGTGAAAGCGTCTGTGTGTAAAAGCGTCTGTGTGAAAAAGTGTCTGTGTAAAAGCGTCTGTATGTACAGGAGTTTCTGTGTGTAAAAGCCTCTGTGTGTGAAAGCGTCTGTGTATAAAAATCTCTGTGTGTGAAAGCGTCTGTGTGTAAAAGCTTCTGTGTGTAAAAGCGTCTGTGTGTAAAAGCTCTTGTGTGTAAAAGCTTCTGTGTGTAAAAGGGTCCGTGCGTAAAAGCGTCTGTGTGCAAAAGCGTCTGTGTGTAAAAGCGTCTGTGTCTAAAAGCTTCTGTGTGTAACATGGTTTGTGCGTAAAAGTGTCTGTGTTCTGTCTCTGTGGACATGGTGTCGCATTCTTTGGTGGTTGTGTTTTCTGGTTGTTCCAAATCAAGCATGGAGTTTTACCGCACAAGTCTGTGCAAGCGGCATTCAACTACATTTTCTACAAAGGAATCGTTTGGTCGGAGCCTCAAGTGATGCCTTGAAAGTGATACTTCCTTTCTGTGGATAAGGTCTTGCATTGATTCTTTGGAGATTGTGACTGCAAGGATTGATTTGTGTTTAGCATGATAATACAGAACTGTTGGACACCGGCTGAGGATGGATGATTGATAGCACCCACGCTGGCAATGTGTGGAGCTCGGTTGCTTTAGTTGCAGTGAGGGTGATGATGGCAGTCACGATGTACATTTTTGGAACTTTGTTTGTGTTGCGGCTTTTGTTCTTGGTGGACAACATGGAAATGACAGAGATTGACGGTGAACATGCTTGCTAGTGAACATTATCTGGATGCAAAATGTTTGGTTCAAGTGGCGTATCCGCATTGTGGTCAAAAAGCTTCTGTGTGCAAAAGCGTCAGTGTGTAAAGGAGTATCTGTGTAAAAGGTTCTGTGTGGAAAAGCGTCTGTGTGTAAAATCGTCTGTGTGTAAAAGCGTCTGTGTGTAAAAGCGTCTGTGTGTAAAAGCGTCCGTGTGTAAAAGCTCTTGTCTGTAAAAGCTTCTGTGTGTAAAAGGGTCTGTGTGTAAAAACTTCTGTGTGTAAAAGCGTCTGTGTGTAAAAGTCTCTGTGTAAGGCTCTGTGTGTAAAAGCGTCTGTGTGTAAAAGCGTCCGTGTGTAAAAGCGTCTGTGTGTAAAAGCGTCCGTGTTTGTGTAAAAGTGTCTGTGTGTACAGGAGTTTCTGTGTAAAAGCGTCTGTGTGTAAAAGGGTCTGTGTGTAAAAGTCTCTGTGTAAGCGTCTGTGTGTAAAAGCCTCTGTGTGTGAAAGCGTGTGTGTACAAGAAAAGCGTGTGTGTGTGTGTAAAAGCTTCTGTGTGTAAAAGTCTCTGTGTAAGCGTCTGTGTATAAAAGCCTCTGTGTGTAAAGGTGCGTGTGTGTGTAAAAGACAAGTGTGAGTGTGTGTGTGTGTGTGTGAGTGTGTAAAAGCGTCTGTGTGTGAAAGTCTCTGTGTAAGCGTCTGTGTGTAAAAGCCTCTGTGTGTAAAAGCGTCTGTCTGTAAAAGCGTCTGTGTGTAAAAAGTGTCTGTGAGTAAAAGGGTCTGTGTGTAAAAGGGTCTGTGTGTAAAAGCATCTGTGTGTGAAAGTGTGTGTGTGTAAAAGCATCTGCGTGTAAAAGCCTCTGTGCATGACGCATGTTATTTCATTATGGCCCAAAAAAAAGCTCGGTACCATGATGCCGTGTATGACACATGTTATTTCATTTTTAATGGAAAATCCTACATAAATGGCCCCAAAAAGATCGGTACCGTGATGCTGTAAATCACACATGTGACTATACTTCACTAGTGAAATGTCTGCAAGCGTTTGCACAAAAAAAGGTCCAATACCATAATGCAGTAAATGACACACAATATCTGTGCCAAACACAGAAACTATCAAAAAAGCTCGGTACCATGATGCCGTGTATGACACATGTTATTTCATTTTAGTATGGAAAATCCCACATAAATGGCCCAAAAAAGCTCGGTACCATGATGTTGTGTATGACACATGTTATTTCATTTGTTTAATGGAAAATCCCACATAAATGTCTCAAAAAAGATCGGTACCATGATGCTGTAAATCACACATGTGACAGCACTTCACTAGAGAAATGTCTGCAAACGTTAACGTTTGCAACAGAGCTCGATGCCATCATGTGCTTGATGTCAAAAACAGAAAAGTTTGAGTTCAGGACCATAAAATGTCAGTGAGCCACACTCTTCAAAAGCTTCTGTATGTAAAGGCCTCTGTGTGTGAAAGTGTGTGTGTGTAAAAGCATCTGCCTGTAAAAGCGTCTGTGTGTAAAAGCGTCCGTGTGTAAAAGCGTCTGTGTGTAAAAGCGTTTGTGTGTAATTAAAAGCGTCTGTGTGTAAAAGTCTCTGTGTAAGCGTCCGTGTGTAAAAGCCTCTGTGTAAGAAAGCGTGTGTGTGTGTGTAAAAGAAAAGCGTATGTGTGTAAAAGTGTCTGTGTGTAAAAGGGTCTGTGTGTAAAAGGGTCTGTGTGTAAAAGCGTCTGTGTGTAAAAGCGTCTGCGTGTAAAAGCTCCTGTGCGTAGAAGCATCTGTGTGTAAAGGAGTCTGTGTGTAAAAGCTCCTGTGTGTAACAGCGTCTGTGTGTAAAAGCGTCTGTGTGTAAATAGTTCTGTGTGTAAAAGCGTCTGTGTGTAAAGGCCTCTGTGTGTAAAAGCCTATGTGTGTAAAAGTGTTTAGTGTCTGTGTGTAAAAGCGTCTGTGTGTAAAAGCGTCTGTGTGTAAAAGCGTCTGTGTGTAAAAGTCTCTGTATGTAAAAGCTCCTGTGTGTAACAGCTTCTGTGCAAAAGCGTCTGTGTGTAAAAGGTTCTGTGTGTGAAAAGCAAAACGAAGGATACGATGCAAACTAGTGTCTTAAGAATCGTACTTGTAATATACTGTCTTGACAATACTTGTTCGCCTGCCTATAATACATCTTTAATATGTTGTCTTGCAATATAGTGTCTCAATACTAACAACAGAAGACCCTGCTCTCTCTCTCCCTCTCTCTCTCTCTCTCTCTCCCTCTCTCTCTCTCTCTCTCTCCCTCTCTCTCTCCCTTTCTCTCTATCTATGTCTCTCTATGGTTGCAAGACAAGTGTCACATGATGCCCTTTATAACAAGCAGCACAGTGCATATGCATGGGTTGTCACATGTATCCTCTTCTTAATCAATCTTACTTTTCACAACTTATCCCTCCATAGCTCCTAAAAAAATAACCAACCATTCACCGACTATTTTTTACGACTACCATACTCAGAGCTGCTTGAAAAACGTGTTTTTCGCTCTTGGGCCAACCGTCGTGTAGTTTCAATCAGGGGATCACCGGGGTCCCGGGGAGATCGGTGATCAACGAAGACACCTCCCCGGGACCTGTAAACGTACCTGCTGGGCTGTGGTGGCGCACCTGGGCGCATTTAAGTCGCAGCTGGTGGCCACCATAGCCCACATATATATATATATTCTATATATATTTATTTATTTACATATATACATATATATATATATATGCATAAATATATTTACACACATATATATATACATATATATATACATATATATATATACATATATATATATATTTATATTTAACTATATCTAATCTAATTGCATGTGAGGGGATTCAGTTCCCAACGGATCACTTCAATGATCCATTTCTTGTCTAGTGTGTGAAAGATTGTGTGAGAGATGTATGTCATAGACATGTGTGTGTGCGTGAAACATACATCTCTCACACACAACTTATTGTGTGTGTGTGACAAAGTTGTATGTGAGAGATGTATGTCAGAGAGATGTGTGTGAAAGATTGTGTGTGACAAGGTGGAGTAGGAGGAGGCGCGTGGCGGAGGAGGAGGAGGAGGCGGCGGACGACGGGATACAGAACCAAAACAAGAACCCCACACAAAGATGTTGGGAAAAAGCAACATGCGCAGTAGAAAGCAAACATCCAACAAAATATTGCCCTTCCGAATCACACACACTCTCTCTCCTTTTTCAAAGGCCAAGGTAGGGAGCAACCATTACCTGCCCAACAGTGGTGAGCAGTGTTTCGTTGGCAGCTTCCATGCGGCTCCAAGTCTAGCAGCTTCTGAAGATCTTCTTTTCCATGCACCTGAGCGCGGCAACGACATTTCAAGTCTCCTGCTGCTTTACGTCCAATGATTGCACCGACAATGCTAATATATATATATATATATATAAAAATATATATATAAATAAACGTGCCAACATAGATCTAACATATCACGAATATAAAGCAAACAGAAAACTCTGTTGATTGACAGCCCGCGGTGCTCTGCCAAGGACCATTTCAATTTGTCAAGAACTAGGGTATGCCCAAATCAATTGCTATTGATTGTCGTCAGTGGAACCGGCGATAAATGTGGGATGAACCCATATTCATTTTTGGCACTGGTTCGCACAAAGTAGCTGCTCTCGCATATGACAGTTGGTTGAAGTGGTAAAGTTAATGGCCATGTAGCGAGGTTAATCCTCCAATTTGATGTATTAAAGAGCATGTAAGTCATCCTATGCAAATCAGAGCTTAACCAGTCACCGTACAGCAATCATGTTCCCCATGTTTTACTGGCCATAGCATGCAGCAAACTCCCATTTTCCAACACGCCCTGCTATGATGGCATGATACATACCATATTTGGCGGGATGACTGTCAATAAAGACCAGGTTTATAGACATGATGGGAGCACCAAACTGAGCATGCAAAGAAAATCCAAACTTTTCCTATCCCAGAAGTGGATCACAGCATTCTGCAGAAACCACAACAGCTTTGGGGCTAAAAGCAAAAGTTTACAGTGTATATAAATATTCCGGAACCCCAAAAAAGGTTCGAAATCCCACTGGAAGAATTGTTATCTTAACGGTGCCTGCCTTTCTTTGGTGTTTCCAGTGTCGTATGTATGTCCCTCATCCCATTGCATCCCATTTGGTTCCCATGTTAGGTCTACCCCTGATTTTTTTTTACAATCAGGAACCAAGTCATTTTCCCCAAAAATAAACTAACATAAATCCACTATTTTCAGTCACGCCCGAATCATATTAAGTTGGTTCGTTATATCTCATGATATTCTTTCTGTGTTCCCATTGTAATCCCATATCTTCCCAGCCATATCCCATAAAATCCCAAAGGGCACCCATATTCCACGTTGATAGTTGGTTAGCTATAACCCAAAAACTCCACATAATGGTTGGTTTCCCTCGTATCTCTGCACTACATCCCTGTTTCCAAGGACACCTCCGTCAACCACTGAGCAATGTTCAACTATCTCCCACAATATTCCCATTCTAAAGTTGATGATTGATCCCATGATACCCCCATTATACCCTCTGGCAATCAAGCATGGAAATCGGAAATCCGCCATTTATAGCTGCTTGTCCGATTAAAGCCTTGACTTGTAGGTGACCTGCAATCGCCGCGTTTGGTTACACCAGGGTAAGCCATGTTCCACTTGCGTGTCTCTGAAAAATTCGGTGCGAAACACCTCAGCCCAATGGATAATGATCATTTTCCCCATCAAAGTTGCCATTATTTTCTCCTCCCATATCACCATGAATCACCATTGATCACCAGTATTAACCATTCTTCACTTCCACCATGCTTTCACCAGTAATCACCATTAATTACATTGAATTACCAGTAGTACCGCGCAAGGCACGTGCAGAAGTTTCAAGTATAGGACATGATAGGAGAGGTGAGTTGTTGTGATGCATGGATAGCAGAGCGAACCCACTGCTGGATCGAAAGGTGGTTGGAGCTGTGCTTTTTGGAATTGTTGCAACGGTCACATCAACCACAACTGCTGGATGTAGTGTGGGCCAGTGTGTGTAACGGTAACGTAGTTGTAGTTGTAGTGTAGTGTCGTGGTAGTTGTAGCTGCAGCCGTAGCTGTCGTTCAAGTTGTTTTTTCTATTGTAGTTGTAATGTTGCAGTTGTAGCTGTAGCTGTAGTAGCTGTTGCTGTTGTAGTTGCGGTTGCATTTGTCGCTCTAGTTGTTGTAGCTGTTGGAGTAGTAGTCGTCGTTGTTGTTGTGGCAGTTGTAGTTGTAGTTTAGTGTGGTGTGGCGCGGTTGAACTTTCAAAAGTTGTTTTTTGCCACGTTGACTTCGAAATATGCTTCGCGCCACAACGGCGTGCACTTTTCCGACCTCAAAAAGTGGCCCGAGACCGTTTGACTTCGAGATGTGTTTCGCGCCACAAGGCCGTGCACTTTTTCCACAGCTCAACTTCCAAAAGTGGTCCGTTTTACCATTTTGACTTCCAAATGTGCTTCGCGCCAGAACGGCGTGCACTTTTTCCACATCTAAACTTCCAAAACTGCCATCGGAAAAACACTGCGTCGCGACTTTTCTTCCTTTTCGCGAACCTTCCTCTTCTTTCTTTTGACCCCTTCTCTTCTCTGATCTTCTCTCTTCTTCTCTTCTCTTCTCTTCTCTTATCTTCTCTTCTCTGATCTTCTTCTCTTCTTCTCTTCTCTTCTCTTCTCTTCTCCTCTCCTCTCCTCTCCTCTCCTCTCGTCTCGTCTCGTCTCGTCTCTTCTCTTCTCTTCTCTAACTCTTCCCACCTCTGCTTTTTCCATCGGTCCATATTGTCGGAAGTTTGGCTTCTAAACTTCCTTTGGCCAATATTAACCCTTGACCAACCGTTATTCACCAAAGAACCGTCAGACCATCAGCCTTAAGCAATCAAATCACCACCCATGCACCGACCCAGGCACCGAATTCATGGAGAGATCGGAGAGCTCCTGCACTGCCTCGCGGGCGCGAGCGGCGACCATCTCGAACTGCAGCGGTTGCAACATGCCTCGGCCAGGGCCAAGTGAAGGGAAACAAAAAACGCAGGGAAAACTATGGGAAAACCATGGAAGTTAGCAGGAAACGGTTTCAACATCAAACATGCGGAATCAACATGCTTGAAAATGATGTTACCAGCAACTGTTGGGATTTGAATTGATTTAGTTTTATTTCCAAAAGTCAATTTTACCACAAAAAATCTGGAGGCTATACAGCTGATAACCTGTAGAAACAAGGTAAAAGCCGGTAACTACCACAAATCCAGCTAGTTACAACCCTGCGCAAGGCGCATTGTTTCTTGAGCCACAGCCACACGAGTAGAAGGATGAAAAGTATGTATACATGCAGTACTACTATGCAACAACATATCATATCCCACATAATATCTCCATTTCCCTTGAAACCCTAAGCGGCTTGGTGACGTCCAAGCACCCGGCCGGCCTTCCCCTGCTTTGTCGGCGTCCATGCACTTCAAATCTTCAGCACAAAAGGCCGCCACGAACGGCACCATGGATGGGCACGAGGCCGAGTACTCAGTCGGCTCACTGGTCATGGTGCATCATGATTATTAATGGTTTATCATGGCTTAATCCTATTAAACAATGGCTTTGTTTAATGGTAATGAATGGTTTTATCATTGCTTATTGGTTATTAAGGGTTTATCATGGCTTTATTTAATGGTAATGAATCGGATTTACTCTCCTGTGTCATCAAACATGGCTACCCCTGAACTAAGGTCTGCTGGGGGAACAGTCATCTAACTAAATGGGTGTTTTTCCAGAAAGCCATGTCTGATTACCCGAAGGTAAGCCGGATTCCATGGCCATTTTTTTTTCTGGCTGATTTTTTTTGGGCGATTCACCAGCCAATTCCTTCAGATCATACTCTTCAAAGGTTCTCCTTACGCACCCTACCATTATGTCCTCCTGAATTCTTCAGACAACTAGTGCCATGTTCAGTCGCAAGCTCCGCTGCCAAATTGATTCTCCCTTTTGTGTGCCACTGTAATATGCCTCATTGTATATTCATGTGCCGACATATCACATATAATATATATATATATGTACCTCTCTCTCTCTCTATCGCCATCTCGAAGAGTCATTATATGTCTCTCTCTCTGTATACATATGGATATAAATATCCATTTATATATATATATATATCTATCTATCTATCTATCTCTCTCTCTCTCTATCTATCTATCTCTCTCTCACCGTTATATTCAATGATATATGTATATGCATATGTGTATATATGTATATACAGATAGATAGATATCGATCGATCGATAAGAAAGAAAGAAAGAAAGAAAGATAGATAGATAGATGGATAGGATAGGATAGGACAGGCTAGGATAGGATAGGATTAGATTAGATTGGATTGGATTGGATTAGATTGGATTTCATTAGATTAGATTAGATTTAGATTAAGATTAGATTAGATTAGATAGATTAGATTAGATTAGATTTAGAATTAGATTTAGAATTAGATTTAGAATTAGATTTAGAATTAGAATTAGAATTAGATTTAGAACTAGATTTAGAATTAGATTTAGATTAGATTAAGATTAGATTAGATAGATAGATTGATTGATTGATTAGTTAGATTAGATTAGATTAGATTAGGTAGATTGGATAGATTAGATTAGATTAGGTTAGGTTAGATTAGATTGGAACAGATAGATAGATAGATAGATAGATAGATAGGTAGATAGATAGATAGATAGCTAGGTAGATAGGTAGATAGATAGGATAGATAGGATAGGATAGATAGGAAAGATAGGATAGGATAGAAAGGGAGGATAGATAGGATAGATAGAAAGGATAGATAGGATAGATAGAAAGGATAGATAGGATAGATAGGATAGATAGGATAGGATAGGATAGGATAGGATAGATACGATAGATAGGATAGAAAGGATAGATAGGATAGAAAGGATAGAAAGGATAGATAAGATTGATACGATTGATAAGACAGATAAGATAGTAAGATAAATAGATAGATAGATAGATAGATAGACAGATAGGTAGATAGATAGACAGATAGACAGATAGACAGATAGGCAGATAGACAGATAGACAGATAGACAGATAGACAGATAGACAGATAGACAGATAGACAGATAGACAGATAGACAGATAGACAGATAGACAGATAGATAGATAGATCGATCGATCGATAGATTAGGTACATATATTATATACATATATCTTTCCATTCGCTGGTAGGTCCAGCGTTGCAGCCCAAAGATCTCTGGTGTTGTGTTCCGAAGACCAGGCGTGGGCCTTTAATCCAGCCGCCCAAATCTTGTCGGTGAAGACAGGAAGCTGTCCCTTCTCCCCGTCCTCAGGGCGTGGCAAACCTCATGCAATCCCCCCACTAAACACCTCCAATAAGGGACTCCAATAAGGGTTTTCCAGAAGGGATCAATAAACCTGAAAATAGTTTGGTTTTGGGGTATGGTTTCTACAACCCATTCCTGGGAAAATTGGGCGATGGTCCTTTTGGAATAGAGGGATGAGTTTGGTACACCAAACGCACCATCACCTGCTGGTGCAACCTGCCAACTGTTTGACCCTTTTGAGCTTATGCAGAAGTGCATGGCCAAGTGAACCCTAACATCCAACACAAGGATTCTGACCAGGTCGGAGGCCCAAGACTAGTGACCAGTGACCTAGTCTCGTAGGAAGTCCTGGTCTAAAGTTAGCTAGTTGCAGAATCATCCCCGACTCCCGACACACATGTCTTCTATTCCGCAAGCGGCCTCTTTGTCAATGCGGCTGCCTCGGATTTTTCTGCACGCGGTTTGGACAGCCACTGGAACAACACAAGTGCACACAATGCTGCACATCTTCGACTCGTGCACATTGAGCTTTTAGCCAAAAAACATCCCAAAAACATCCCACCCTAAACATCCCAACCTTAGGGTACCATTCTTCATTGCCACCCTGGCCCGAAGAGTCCATCATTTCAAGATATTTCAAGGCACCGGCGAAGGCGCATTGCAGTTGTTCCAATCGTGCAAGTTGGTTTTGGTCCGCCTTTTCCATCTCCGATACTGTCAGCTCCTGGTGGCATCGTTCGTGGCGGAGATTGGCGGAGAAACGAAGAGTGAAGAAATATGGAGAAATATGGATGTGCCAATCCTTTACAAGAAACCGAGGAAAAACGTACCTATGAAATTTGGGGAAATGCACAATGTCAATGCTGCCGCTTTGAATTCAACTTTGAAGTGATTTCTTCTGGCCTGTGTAGCCAGCCTTTGTGACTTTGTTTCCCCTATCTTGTGGGACAGCACAGTGGTGTTTGAGCCAAACAAAACGTTCGCCCATGCCTCAATGGTACACCCAAACAAGGTTCTGCATTTGTCAACAGGATGAACGAAAACACTGGCTATTCGCAGTCATTTTGACTTTAGGCTTTTCGGATTTAGGGTTTAGGGTTGGGTTTTTGGAATTTAGGGTTTGTATGTGTTTGTAGGGTTTTGAGTTTGCTGTGTTTAAACAATCAACAAAAATGGCCCCACACAAGGATTCAGGATCACGGGCGCTGGTCAGGGAAGTCACCAACCTGTGTTTGAATGGAGGTCTTCATGCACCGGATGAAGAAGCCCAAGGATGATATCATCCCTGTAAGGGTCCCAGGTCCTTCTGTTCGAGGTTCGCCAAGGACATCTCAAGGCAACTGTCCTTTGCGGCACATTGCAAGGATTGCATCAATGAGTCCTGGGCGGAGAATTCGCTCAAAAAAGGGGTGGCACGGCAGTGCTCAAAAACCGGTGCCCAAAACACCATGACCGACCACTCTGGCTTCCTGAAGCCATCCAGATTTGGGGCATGAAATTCTGAGTAAGTTCCAAGTCTTCACGGAAGATGTGAAGATTGCTACCAGGGCGCATATTTGTAGCCCAAATTGATGGAGCCAACGGTGGTGCCTTTTTCATCATGCCTCAAAGGCCACCACCTTTGGGACAATGCTCCTGGCTTTGTCTCAAAATTGAAGCACTCCATGGCATCATGGTTGCCCATCATTTCAAAAATGCCATTTGCATGTCCCCATTTTCAGACCTTCAAAACGGAGGAAGAAGTCTTGGAACTAACATTACTAGCACTCTCTCTCTCTCTCTCTCTGTGCGTGTACATGTACTGCGATGTAATGTACTATCATGAAATGATATATACAAAAGAATTCAAAAGAATATAGCATAATGCAGCACTATTTTATAGAATCGAATAGGATAGAATAGAATTGAATTGAATAGACCAACAGATCTGCCCGCCTTCCATGAGCCTCTGGTAGGTGCGCGCAGTGCAAGACAGCAATGGATGCTCGTGAGTGCAGGTGTCTATCAACCTCATCAAGTGGCCAAAATTTGAACCCAATGAAGTTCCTATTGAACCATGCCGAATACATACCATATATACATATACATGTGTGTATATCTATATACACATATGCATGTTCGCCTTTTTATCTATCCGTCCGTCCGTCCATCTGCCAGTCCGTCTGTCTGCATACATATATATATATATATTATATATATATACATATATATGCAGTCGGATCTTTTATCGGCCCACAAATTCGACATTTTTGGTACATATCATCTTAAACCTCTTGGGGTGGGGGTTGGGTGGGGTGGGGTGGGGGCATGTTAACGTTCGCTGCACTTGCGTCATGAAGTTGATGCTACGTTACGGATGGGGTTGGGGTTGGGTGGGGTGGGGTGGGGCATGTTAACGTTCGCTTGCACTTGCGTCATGAAGTTGATGCTACGTTACGGATGGGGTTGGGGTTGGGTGGGGTGGGGTGGGGCATGTTAACGTTCGCTTGCACTTGCGTCATGAAGTTGATGCTACGTTACGCATGGCGTTGGGGTTGGGTGGGGTGGGGTGGGGCATGTCAACGTTCGCTTGCACTTGCGTCATGAAGTTGATGCTACGTTACGCATGGCGTTGGGGTTGGGTGGGGTGGGGTGGGGCATGTCAACAGCTGTTGGACCATTCAGAAAGCTGGTGTGCCAGATAAGATAGCTTCAAAGTGTGGATCCAAACCCAATCCCTTGCTGTGGAAGTACATCCGCAGCGCACAATGGCGCTGGGAGATGAACTCTGCAGACCTGCTGGCCAAAACGGGCCTCTACCTGGCAAAGCTGTGAGCTGAAAAAAGGAAAACCGAACTCGGAACGTTTTTGACCACAAAATGCTGGAAGGGTTGACGAAAGCATCTTGCGATGAACTTTTTTAAGAAACTTTTTTGGACCCAGAATGTGCGTTTTGCTAGCACGAGAACGACGTTTTTGAGAAATCATGGGACGGTGAAAGATCCGTCGGGATATATATGTATGTATGTAAATACATATATATATATATGTGTGTGTGTAGATATGTGTGTATATATTACTATTATTATTATTACTATTATTATTATTACTATTATTATTATTATTTATTATTATTATTATTATATATGTGTGTGTGTGCGTCTGTGTATGCGTATGTGTATCTGTATCTATATCTGTTATGTATACTGTATGACGGAGTATTTCGCCATCCACCGCCAACCACCAGGGATTCACCGGGCATGCGCTGCTCAAGTGATCCCTATTCTTTGCCCAAAAATTGCGTATACCCCAATAAATGGTCATTGAATGTGAAAAAATAATGACAAAGCATGATGTACCCGAATATCACCCAGAAATAGTTGTCTTTAATGTCGAAGCATACGGTATACCCCATTTTTTAGACCAGCTGCGGCTTCCGTTGCGCTTGCAAGGCCTGCAAGCACTTGTCCATCGCCGTGGCCGAGGCGTGTCCTCCTGAAAGGAATCCAAGTTGAGCCAACTTTAATCCTTTCTTGTCAACTGGTCGGACATGTGCAGAATTTTTTGCCCTCCAACTTAGATCCTGATAGTTTCAACCGGTTGGATTAGATTGGATGTTCATTGCGTTCCATTGCCACGTTTGGGATCAACACAAGCTTCGGGCCAGGCTCGTCCTCCATGAGGTAACGCCTGGAGATAGATCTTGGGCAGCAGGGAATGCAAGGCGCCGGCAATGTTGCCCATCACCAACTGACGGGCAGCAACAGCCCTGGTGTCAACCCTGGATTCACCCGAAGTTGATGAATTGCGAGGGTTCCCCTACCGTAATCATCTGCTAAAATGGGACCCCGATCAACAGTGCAGGGAGTTCTTCCAGAGTTCACATCAAGTGGAAGGAATCTAAAGTCTGACGAGGCTCGTGCAGAGCTGCATTCCTAAGGAAACAGGGGCGCGGTGCCCGCATGATTCCGTCCTTAAACCTCATGTGGTTGGTGGTGCTAACCCTCTTAGAATAATGTTAGTCACTGGGAACCATCGTCCCAGGTCTTGAAACCACCACCCAGTCATGTTTCACGCTTTGGGCAAGTGTCAGAGCGCGTGGCAACTCCACATAGAGTGTGATTGTCAGAACTTGACTGGCAAGGGAAGTCTGCCTCAGCTGCTGCTGGCAAAGTTGCTGAGAAAGCGCTTAGATCAATGCCCCAAGCACCATGAACCAAAAAAATCTTGTTTGCCTTCATAAGCGTGGCATTTGCAAACTAAAACGCACCTTTTTGACATGAATCAAGTAGTCTAAGTACTGTACAGTAAATAAATACATTAAATACATGTGACATTTTTTGTCAGCCTTTTTCCCAGCCAAGTCTCACCAGCTCCTGACATTCCTTGTTACTCAGCAGGGTTGGCAATTGCTCCTCCAAATTCTGCCTTCGGCGTGAGAGGAGGTCAGGCTTTCTCATTCTCGACACACGCTGTTGGGAAACTGCCCTTATCTTAGAAGGATTTTACTTTATGACTTTTTCCAGGTTGTAGATTTACGGGAAACTCACCATTTCTTGATTGCATTCACGGCTTCCAGCATGTCCCTGTTCCAAACTTAGATGCACAAGCAGGTCGAGAAAAAAAAACTTCAACATCGTTCGACATGTTTGCTCGTAAGGGTTTGTCTGAAAATGCGGCATACCATGGCATACCCAAAGAAACCAATGCTTTATCATCATGTTCCCACTAAGTAACAACTTACTTTATGTTGTTATTCATGTTGTTTCATCACTGTTTCTACTGAACTTGCCACTTTTTTTGGTGTCCTTCAATTTCAGACACTCATACATCATCCCAATCAAATCCCAGAAAATGTGTCATTTCATCCCCATGATCTCCATAAAATCTGCGCCCAAAAAGCTCCAAAACACCGCCCTCACCTTGCTTGGGCCGCATGGCCATGGAGTGCCTTCTTCGCAGCATCGAGCTGGTCCTCCGTCCCAACATGCTGGATTTATCCCATATATCCATCTTATGGCCATTTGAAGTTGGTTTATAAACCCCATATCCCCATTAACTGTAGATATATTCGGGTGAATTATAGTAATTCACTAACCTGAAACTCTGGTCGTGTGGGGATAGTTCACCCTACTAACCATAGTGTGCGGTGAGGTCACACTGAGGTTACTTTAATTTGTTTATATAAATAACTACCGCAAAACCATGGTTAACCGAGCTATAAACCAAGTTATCTAAGCAGCATCCGGCACCCGAAAATGGGGAAACGTTTTCAAAACAAAACATTTGAATGGGGAAAATGGGGTTCCCCAGCTTCAGACAAATCCAACGGCCATAAAATGATCTTTTGGAGGCTGAGGTTTGAAATTGCTAAACCGGTGAGTAAATGGCCATAAAATGACTCGTCAGTTATATTCAATATGGAAAATTAATGAAAATTACGGTTTACACCAGGAGATTTGGGGGTCTGAAACCCAAAAAAATGATACCTAAAAATGGAAAAATATGATCACCTATGAGATAAACTGTGGTGTCCCTCCTATTTTCAGAAAAACGCGAGTTGGAATCGCCAGGTTCACCCAGGAATTCCCAGGCCATGCGTCATCTTCTTCAAGGTCCGCCTGGTCCAGAGATTTTTCCCTTGGTGTAGGCAGGTTCTTCATGGATTTTGGGTTTCAACTTTGGCCTTTAAAAAAATATATAAATCTCCTCGAAAAAACCACTGAGCCACTGCTTGCTGTTTGAAGCTTTCAACCCCAAGGTATACTTCTAGGTCGAGGCGCAGCATAGACAAATGCTGTTGGACCATTTCAGGTGTCTTGCCCTGGAGGTGTTTCATCAACGCATCCTTGGCCACCAAAACTTGCAAACAGTTCTCGAAAACTCAGTTTCTTAGCAGTTGATTCCTCCAAAGTGCAGGTGGGTTACAAGATTTTTCTTTGGATTTTCCATCCAAGTGGCAGCTGAAGCATGCAAGTCCAGCCTTCTGGAACCACTAGCGTCCTAACTATTTGCTGTCCTGCAGATCCCAAATAATATTGGTTTGTCTTGCGTAATGCAAACATTGTCTTTCAAACATCCATGCGCACGGTAGGATGAATACTTCGACATGTTTGGACATTCGCTGGCATCCTGGGTTACCCCGAGCTGCTTTGGTCTTACATATTGTCAGACCCTCTTGGGGGTTCAATGTTCCAGCCGTTCCCTGCACTGCCAAATGTTGTACACAAAGGCCCTCTCTCTCGAACTATTTGGGTCAGGACAATCAAATCTACAAAGGGTTCTATTCCATCCCAGACTCATGAAAGATTTGCTCCTGCCCCTCATCACTGTCAGAGTTCGACTGTGCCTTGGCTGGCTGCCCAGAAGCACCGTTCCTTGATATATACTTGTAAATCTGCAAACTTGCATGTGATTTGAGCGTTCCGTTTTGCATGCAACATTCGCAAGGGTCGGAATCTTACTGATGTACGTAGTTGATGATGATGAATTGGATAGTTCATAGTGTAACCAGGTGGAAGTTTCCGTAAGTAATTGACGCATAGAATCAAAGATATGTTTTTTCTAAATTAAATGTTCAAATTTTCAGGTTTCTATCGACTATCGAGGGACGGTTTCCAGCATGCTGGTGCCATGATCTTCTGACGTTTTCGTCACCGGGAAGTACGTGGCGAAGCGTTCTTTCATTCCATCCCGAACTTCTTGCGACGCGTAGCTGAATCCTTAGCTGCCTCAAAGCAGTTTGGGACAGGGCAGCACCGAAAGCGAATCGCAGCACACAATAGAAGTTTCAGTTTATGGACTCTACACTGACACACATGCACATGCCTACATGTATTATATGTATATATATAATATATATAATATATAATATATATATATATATATGTATATATATATATGTATGCACGCGGATCAACTGTTGCTCTTCCAACTGCGCCGTCTGAGGAGCCAAAGAGAAACTCTTTGGCCTTCATCAGGCCACTGACCACCTTCCGGGCAGCGTATTTCAGCTTCTTCCAGAGATCTTTCACCTGAGATATGTTTCAGCAGTGGATTCTTGTAACAATAACATATCTCGTATATCTACACATGTGTATGTGTATGAGTACGTACATATATATAGATACATACATGCATAACATAACATAACATAACATAACACAACATAACATAAGATAACATATACTAAACATATACTAAACATATATTAAACATACACTAAACATATACTAAACACATACAGTACAGTACGGTACAGTACAGTACAGCACAGCACAGTACATATATATGTGTGTGTGTGATATACACAGGCGACGCGTGTAATATATAATATCTGGTACCCGCCGTCCCCCCAACCAAAAAAAAAACTACCCTTTTACTACTTTTACTGGTGGTTACGGCACTTTTTGCAATATTGTAGGGACTAATTTTCATGGTTAGTTTGAGGAAACTTTGGCAGTAGTTTCAAGAAGGGGTACCATAATATTATATATATAATGTCTAGCAAACATGGTATTTAGGCTGATTGAACTTAACTTCACTGATAGCATTCTGAGAAGAATGCATTCAGACTGCATTCCCTGCTACACCTAAGATTTAAGGTCTAAGATTCCCCTAGGACTCCTGAGCATGGAAGGACGACAACATTATTTCAGAATGGAATCCATTGAGTACCCATTTTAAACGATTGCGGTATTCCTTAAAATGCTGGTGCAAATGTGGGCAAAGCTCCCTTCACAAGCCGGTGAACCATTTGATTGAAAAGCATGCAATAAGGCAAAGAAGCATTATATACTATGAAGTAAAGCCCTTCGATGTATGGAGTATTTTTTGAAAGAAACAGGTCATGGCTGTATGTGTGCAATATGCTACAGGTACATTAAAGGAATAATAAAGGTATTTTCAAGGTATACAAATGTTATATGAAACGGTATGCTAAAGGTATATTAACGGGTACTTTAAAGGTGTTATCAGATGGTTTTTCAAAGGTATATTAAATGCATGTTAGTCTATTTTCATGGCCCATAGAATGGTGCGGTGAAGGTATAAAGAAAGAAAACCATAGGTTTAGGATAGATATAGATGTAGATATATGATATATATTATTTATCTATCTATCTATCTATCTATCTACCTACTATCTATCTATCTATCTCTCTATCTATCTATCCACCCATCCATCCATCCATCCATCCATCCATCCATCTATCTCTCTCTGTCTGTGTGTATATGACCAAGATTGCATATATATATATATATATATACTTATATGTATATATACAAAAATGCAATTCAAACACACCTAAATATGTGCCTCACACGTGCGTATATGTATGTAATTGTATATATCTATAGTTATCCCCAAATAGATGGAAAAGTAAATCCCTACTAATTTGATGGTCATGGTACTTGTCCATCTATTTCGGGATTACTATATATCTAATATCTTTACATGTATGCGCGTCAACATCTGAGCCACCTATGTTCACAGCCCGCCTTGGCAAAGGCCTCGCAAACGGTGCAGCGGCCGCAGACCGCCAGCTGCTGGAGAAAGACCACGGGGATGCCCAAAAAGCTGGCGCGCTTGTTCTGCTTCGCGTAGAGCCTGAAGGAAACAATGGGGAAACCCAGATTCAATGGGAAATCCCCAGATGGTTTAGTGCCTCTTTGGAAAATCTCCGAAAAATTCTTCATGGATGATAAATGGGGTACCCCCAAGACAGTGGAAACCGTCGAATTAGCACATCCAGTCCCAGGAGGAACTCCAGTCTTCGAACCCTGCTGGATGATGCTGGTACCCTTGCAGCTCCCCCGAGGCCCCATCTCAATTGATGATGGCAGCTACGATTTCCGCCACAATTAATTCCAAAGCCCAACAGCAAAAGAACATGGATATTAGGTAGCCGTATAATTCATCTCCATCCTCCATTCTGAATCCCAAACTCAGAAGAAAAAAAACATCTGCAGCCCTCGGAACCCCTTGCAGTTTCTCTTCTCCTTTTTGGTCAGCCCTTCTGCCCCAGACTCCAGGCCACAGTCCTGGCTGCGACAGGATCTGGGGGAACCCCCCCAAAAAAAAAAAGGAGTTGGGGGATCAATATGATTTGAACTCCGAAAAAAAGATAGAATTTGATCCAATCCAAGTCTAAAGTAGTTGGAAAATTGGAGAAGATATGGAATTGGTAAAATCTGATTCCACAATAAGGATAAATTGAACCCTTTCTGTCTGGGGGGAGCTATAAATACAACCCACATTTACCACACAAAAAGTCACTGCGGCGTGTTTTCCCTGTTTTTGAAGCAGGATTTATCGGGCTTGGTGTGCCCTATTGTCACGTCGCAGTTGCCATCATGTAATTCCATCCGTCAAATGGTAATATGACATACCCCGGCAGAAGCCCTGGTTTAGTGCTGGATTCATTCATTCTGGGGGACCAAGTATCCGGGGGAAGGGATTCATTTGCTCACCCAAGACGCCCCCAAAATTGTCCTCATCATCAAGGAGGTGTTCCACCTGTCCAAGAACTCGCAAAACCAATCGAAATCGGCAAGGATGGGTCAAGTCACTGGTTCTTCATTTTGGACCTACGAAATTCCCAAACTGAAGGATGAAAGTTGACCGTCCGCGACTGGCCTCGTCTGAAGCGTGGAATCCCCATTTCTTGTGCGAATTGGGGATGCACATCTCAGGTGCAGCACAGCTGTGGGTTTGTGGTGGGCTAGGGCTAAGGTGCGTAAGAAAACATCGCAAATCCATGTCACTGGCCAAGTGCATGGCAAATCCTTGTCAATGGTGGCTCAATATCTTACACGTCGGTTCGTTCAAACATAGTAACATAGTGGCCCCCAAATCCCATGGTTTATCATCATTTCTCAATCAAGATGACGGGAGTGTATACCCCATTCCTGGGCGCAGGCAGAGAATTTCGCCAAGTATCGAAGGCCATATCAAGACCAGGTATCGGCATGGGCGGAAAGATCTCCCAAGAAATGCCTCCCTCAGGCGGAGCTAAAAGGTGGGTTGACTTCTGGCGGGGAGCCATCCAACCCAACTTTGATACATCGTCCATACCTATGTCTATATTCGGAATGGCAGCTCTTTTAACGGTTAGGGCCAAAGGTGCACCTGCGTGTGCATGGGTCATGTGGCTGTTACACATGGCAGGCGAAATGGGGCTGCATGTCACGTCCAAAAGTCGAGTCTGCTCATCGTGCTGTTGTAGTGCTTGGGTTCCATCTAAATTCTCTGGTAGTGCATGAGATAGTTTTGAATCCGTCCGGGTCGTTCATGCGGCAGCAAACTTGGGCCTTGTCTGGCCGTCAACCTCGAAAGGCGGAATCCATGCAAACCTTCCAGTGGTCGAAACTGGAATTCTTCTTCTCCTTCTTGTAGGATGAAATAGTTTTGCCCGCGCACTCAGATTTCATCTCCTTCTTGTCCCACCAGTGGATGGTAGGGAGCATGCTCGCTGTAGAGCTGGTCGATTGTTGCTGAAGGAATTCGCCCATCGTTGAAGTATCGCTGCACATAGGAATGAATCGCCACCTGTAGGTTGTTGCCCTTGATGGTGAGATGGTGAATCAGATGTTCTTGTCTGTCGGGCTCGAGCATGTGCTTGTTGAGTTCGTCGTTCGTATTCGGTCTGGTCGTGGATGAAGTCATCCAAAGAAGGATCATCTGTGTGATCGTACTCCTCCTCGAAGTCTTCGCTCTCTGGCCCTTCTCGTTCTCCATCTCGTGATCTTGAGGCATCACTTCTAAAGCGTCGTCCCCTTGGTGACTCAGGTTCAGGTTGGGGTGATGTCACTCCAGCGTCTCTTTCTCCATCTGGTTCTTCGGCTACAGGCTACAGGTCGTGGATCTTGAAGACGTAGACGTTGTCGTGCAAGTTCTTCAGGATGTGGTGAAGCATGTCGAACTGCTCGGAAAAGTATTTCCAAGTCGCCACGGCTGTCGGCAGACTGTCTTCTCAAAGTGTCCAATTCCACTGTCACTTCTTCATGGTGACATCAAGTCGATCACCCTCTCGACGATCGGCAGCACAGCTCTGTTGGCGTGCTCTTCTAAAAGCGTCTTCATGGCCAACAGTCGCCTCCAAAAATGCCATACTGCTCCACAGAGGCAGAAAATCGCCACCAAAATGACTGACAAAATGGTGACCAGTACGTATTGCCGGTCTTGTGAAATTGTTCCTCCTCCAAAGTCGTCGGCGCTGCATTGCGCCTGGTCAGAGATCTTGTTCGGCTGTGCTCGGCTGATCACGTTGGCGAAGCACAGGAAATTCAGCAGCCAAAAATTGGCCTTGCCGTTGATGTCGTCCAGGTACCTTGTGATGTAGTGTAGAGCTGGATGGCCTGGAGGTCCTCGGCAGTCATGTAGGACTCAAGCCACTTGTCATCTCCCAGCTCCAAATCATCTTCGGTGAAGTCTTTGATCTTGGGAAGCCGTGGAGCTTCAATTGCGTGGCCAAGCTCGTTGGCAAAGTCCACCTGCCCAGTGCTCATCAAAGAAAGTAGAGGTCGCGAAACCATCACCTTGGTCAATGGATCGCTCGTCATTGATTGCGTTGGGATGAGTATTATCCATCTGATGCGTCCTTGAACTCTGGCTTCTCGGATCGCAAGGATGTAGATGCGCTGGCTTTTGTTTTGAGGTAAGGCTGTAGAGCCCACTGTCAGCGACCAAAAGTCTCGGCAGTCTGTGTAGGAGTCCACAGGCAAGTAGGGAATGCCAGATTCCTGCAACGCTGCCAGCTGTTGAAGTATGGGCTTCTTCTCGGGCATCAAGAGTTCTGCTAAACGTAGGCTCACCAAAGTCGCAGTCTCCAAACCGGAGACCGCAGCCAAAGTCTCAGAGTGACTTGTGGAGTATGATACCCTTTTGGCCTTTGAGCCATGAGAGAACCGTATGTGTGCTGTTCCTCCAAAGATCTGCTCCTCCACATTCTCGCCGTTGATGGTGTGAACCTTCGGGTCAAACTTCATGTTGTCGGGTGCTAGCAAAATCAGCACTCCCTCTTGGGCGTATGTGCGCCCATTGGATGCTGCAGAGGCATCATGGATGCACAAAAGTTTCCAAGGAACGTCCTTTGTGAACTTCTTGAAGATCAGGCCCAGGTTCTCGTACTGTTTGAGCTTGGCTTTGCGAACCACTGCACTGGCTTGCAAGAAGTCATTCACAGTGGCCTTGGTGACCTTGGACTGAAGGATGCCCACGTCGGCTATCAGGTCCAAACGTGTGGCCGTAAGCCAAAGTAAACCACCAAGTCACCAAGTATGCTGCGGAACTTTGTTGTTTCAGCAGCAGTCAAAGGTCTATTGCCGCCCTTTGTGTTCTCGATGTCCTGGGCCTTCAGGGCGTTGACAAACACTTGTTGATCCATCTTGTACGCGTCGGGAATCTTGGTGTATTGACATCCACAATGGGTAAATGGCGTCATCTGCTAAGAGATCTTGCCAAAGGCTTCGGTCATCAGCTTGAACTGCTCGTCCAGGAAGGTCTGATGGCATGTGATGGCAAGGTCGTCCACATGGGTCGTGATGACACCTTTGATGGATTCGTCAGGATTCTTGTAGTGCCACAGGCAATCATCCAGCAGTGGTTGGCATTCCAAACCAAAAGCGCCATAGAGCTCTTCAGGCATGTTGAAAGAAGGGTCAAAAGAAGACAAATGTCTCCAAACATTTGGAGGTGGTACTATCACCACTCGGCGTGGCGGTGATGCCAAGCCCTTTTGTGCCAGTATCTGGCGAACCTTCTCAAATGTCAGCCCTTTCAGAAAAGCTCCAGAAACGTCCAGCGAGGCCAGGACAAAGTCATGCGTGGATGCCACACTGAGGATGAGAGGTTGAGAAAGTCTTGTAGCTGTGGTTGAACGTGTTGGCAACTCCTGCTTTTGTGGGTCTAACGTGCGCAAAGTCTGCTCTTGGCCTTCATCTTGCCGCACGGCATGCGCTTGTACTTTCGTACCCAAGTTGCGTCCACCACCACAACTTCATCTGGTAGATCTGCAAGAGCAACTTTTTTAAAGACCTTCTCATTCACAAACTGTTCCAGCTCCTGGTGGTCGGAGTTCTCGAAATCCTACCCTACCAGTTGTTGATCAGTTGATCTTCTGTCAGCGTGTCAGTGTCAGAGTCAACTCTGAAGATCTGGCCATCTTTGAGGTCAATGTTGAGGTAGGCTTCAGTCTTGCAGTGCAAGTGAAGCAAGTAGTTGGTCTTGTTCACCTTGGTGTCTGGGGCAGCTTTCTTCTGTATCCATCTGTCATCGAGCTCGTACCAAATTGGCGTTGGCTCCAGGCTGATCTTTCTTGATCTCTGCATCATCCACCACATTGATCGTTGATGTAGAAGTTCTGTTGAAGTCCACAGGATCTTCTACTTCTTCTTCTCAGGAGCGATGACAACTGTCCTCGTCTCTGGGTCTTTCCTTTTGTGGTCGTAGGAAACTTCCATCTCACCATCATCAGGTAGTTGATCTTGTCCAGAGGTTTTCTTCGGGTAATTCTTGCAGGCATGGTTGAGTCCTCCTGGTTGTACTTGACATAGCCATAGAGGTAAATGTGGCAAAGGTCTTCAAAGTTGTGTTTGAAGTATTCTTTGATGTGGATGTGAGAGTAGTTGGGGTTTTCAGTCAATGAAAATCCAAGTGTGCCAAATGGCCAAGTGATCAAGATGCCTTTGGAAAATCTTGGTGTTGAGATTGTCTTCATTCCTCTTCCAAAGCGGATGCCATGTAGTGTGAAGTGCTCGAAGTGGTACTCCATGAGAGTTTTGGCATCTCGTAGCATCTGATCGCCAGATGGGCTGTCGTTCTTGGGGAACTTGACCATCTTCCAATCCCCCTTGTCTTCCGTCAAGCTCTCACCAACGGCGAACGGCCGAAAAGGTGAGCACTCTTCCACCACTTGTTTCATTCTCTTCGCTGCCTTCTCCACATCAGTTGATGTCAAGGAGCTGTTCTCGTTGAGGTAGATGAGGAAGGAATCTCGTAGTGGTCGAATGTGTGCCTCAGGCTCATCAGGTAGGGTTTGCCCTGGAACTCCACAATGGCGTTGCCAGCTTCTTCATGAACTTTCAGCAAAACAGCTGGTCCTCTCCATCCTTGTCCAGAGCCATCTTCACGGAAGATCTCAATGGAAGTAGTGCCAGGGACCATGTCTTCCAAGGCAAGGCGATGAGGTCTTGAGCGATTTGCCCGCGCAATACGGGATTCCAGTATGGCTCCTTGTGCAGCTTGTAGTGCGATCTGCCTCAGTCGTAGTGATCGTTCAAAGCTGCTTTCTGCAGTGATGTCTCCATGTGGATGTTCAGCATCAGGTTCAAGGAAACCACGTGGAAGAACTCCAAAGAGTAGTATGGATGGGGTGTACCCTCCAACGCTCATGGCCAAGTTTTGTGACATAGCTGCTTCTGCAGCCAACTCTTCCATCTCCAACCCGATGCCATAGCGTCCACTTTCGGCCTGGATCTTCAGCATGGACATCTTCACCAGGTCAATGTGGCGCTCGACCAAACCGGTCGTGGTGTGCATCTGACCTTGCTTCTTTGTCGTTGTGCCAGCAGGCCTTCCCTCGATTCCAGCTCGTTGGAACTCCTCTCCAGCCTCGATGGTCATAAGTGCAGATTCTTGGTCAGTGACGAAAACCTTCATCGGACCAAAGTAGCGAATCCAACAGTTCATCAAAGTTCCCAGGAGATCTTTGAGGTATCGCCCAGGGCAGGATGTCGCCACCTTGTATCTCGTGGCTTCGTCAATCACCAGCATGAAAAGATGATCTTGAAATTGAAAAACATCCATCTGGACCAAGTCGTTGAAGCTTGGAGAAAGATGAGCTCCTCGATGTTGGGGGCGTCGCCCTGCTCGAGAGTACTTGCGGCAAACAGCGCAAGATGCCACAGCTTCAGCTGCCAGTTGTACAACTTCCCATGGCTGTCCACATCTTTGAAGGATGTTGTGAACATCACCAACTGGAGCATGCCATACTCGTTCATGTAGACCTACAATGAGTCGTTTCACCTGTGTGGGGTCAGAAGACGCCAGGCGAGGCAGCTTGTGAAGAATCCTCCGAAAGTCATACAGAGGTTTGAGTGAACCAGGTCGTACTGCAACTTGTCCTGGTTCTTCACTATCACAATCAGGAGGTGGTAGCTGTGCAAGTTCTCCATCTTGAGCTTCGTCATCGTCTTGTGCTGGTTGAACTGGGACCAATGATGAAGATGAGCTGGATGTTTTGGCGGATTCAGGATCACTCCCAAAGATAGCTACCAGCCAATCTTCTTCAAGGTCGATTGGTTCATGCCAGTGACTGGCGCTCATTTCTCGATAGTCCTCAATCTTTCCAATGGACCATTTTTCCGCAGAGCCTTTGATGATCAGCCGCAAAGGAGCTTCCTCAGCAGTGAAGTATGGAGATGGTGTCGGAAGACTCCAAGGTTGTAGGAATGAGAGAGCTCCCTTCGCATCCATGTAGTCCACAAAGATCTTGCGCAGCCATCCAAGAGCAACAGGATCTTGTAGCCGTTGTAGCCACTGAGCTTCAGGAAGATCCTTCTTCTCCTTGTCAGCCTCCTCGTAGCCCTTGATGGACTCATCCAAAAGCTTCACCATGATCATCTTGAAAATTGAAGCTTGCTCGTTGTTGAAGGCGATGTCGGAGTGAATGGACAGCTTGCCCTTTTGGATCTTGTCGTTCTTCATGGACTCCTTGCGAAAGAGGTCGAACAGGTCGTCCTGCTCCTTCTGCTCCTTCTCGGCTTTCTTTCTCTCTCTGGGATTTTCTCCTTCAGGCCAACGTCCCTGGCGGCATCCACCAGGCACAAAGGAGTGCCGAAGATCATCAGCGGCGGCTCTTCCAAGGGCACAGCGCTCACACTTATAGTAGTCGTTGTAGACCGTCGGCTTGTTGCTGATGAAGCGCTTGATGTCCTTCACGATGGCTTTCCCCAATGATTCAGGGTAGACTGCAGCAGCTGTAGTGCGATTGACACCTTGTACTGCTCCTTGAAGCCAGCCATGTTTCTGACCTAAATGGCCAGCGCACCGCTTGACACAGTGCTTCAAAGCAAGGTTGCTCTGCAATCCAGTTGGTTTCAAAATTGGATTGCCAACTTCATCTTGTGCGCCAAAACGGCATTGATCTGTGCGATCTACATGGCCAGGGTTTTCTTGAAGTCGTTCCCACATTGCTATTGCTGAGGACCATGGCTGTTCCCATATGTAGCCCTTCTTTCTCTGGCACTGCAATTTGGCCTTCTTCTTGAGGTAGTTGATCACAGGCATTTCTTCTTCTCGTTCTTGTTGAGTTGTTGTAGATCTCGTCGAACTGAAGAAGATGCCCCAGGGCCTGCAGCTTGGACTCATGAAGTCAACGTCAGGCTGGAAGGTTTCTTCAATCTCATTGATGAGTCGCCTGTGAGCAGGGCTTCCAAGATCCCAGCCATATCTGTAGTCCAGCGGGAACATCACCGACAGTCCTGCGCAAAGTGCGAGGAAGGACAAACGGCCAGAGCCGCTACACATCTCCCACAAGTGAAAGTGGGCACCTCTTCTTTTCTTTGCCCATGACCTTGCATTTCTCGGTGTCACAGGTGCTCGTTGAGTCTTTGTGTAGAACTCTTCAGGGATCGCCTTGTAGAGCTTGCTCAGGTATCGGAGTTTGCTAGGTTTCAGGTATGCAGGAAATTGATCGCCTCCGTAGGGCTGTGGAGCTTCGTTGTACTCCTCTTCCAAGCTTAAGGACCTGGATCTCAGGCTCGTCATCAGCCACTTTGATCATCTCCGTCTTGTTGTTGAACTTGTCATTCTTGGGCTCAGTGCCAGCTGCAAACTGCAGCTTGGGGTTCTCCGCATTGGAGTCAGGGACATTCTCAGTGTCGGCAACGTCGATGGACTTGATGTCGTAGTTGCCAGCATTGTCATTCAAGTCGGACTGCTCACATGCTACCGTGTGCTTGGAACTTCTTCCTTTCCACCAAGCAAGGATCTCCTTCTGCTCGTTGAGCGACATGTCTTGGTCTTCTTTGTTGACGGGAAGGATGTAGTGTCCAGACTCGGCAAGCAGGAGCTTCATTGCCACAAGGTTCGCAGCAGGGTCATCAGGTCGATGTCCATTCAGGCTGCAAATCATCACTCCATCTCCATTGTCATACCACTTACTGCCGTCACCACCAATGATGTCAGCTGTGTGCTCTGCATCTTCAGTGCCGATGCCAAAGGGGATGGAGATCCTGGCAATGGTTTGGTCTGACTGACCTGAGATGCCAGTGACTGTAGTTTGTGCTGCTCCCCAAGTGATCTCGCTGGCCTTCTCAGGGGGCACCATTCCAGAGTCAAACAGGTCGCGATGTGCCTCGCTTCCAATCAGGCCTGAACTGGCCGCAGGGTCCACCAAAAGTCCTCGAACTCGTCGTCCTCGAACTTGATGGAAAACCATTTCACCAACGTCCTCGGTCACCGGGAAGTTCAGCTTCTTCGTTGTAGTGCCATCAGCTTGATCACCTTCTGGTACATCACTGAACCGCACACGCCTTGTTGGCAGCGGCTCCGCTTCGTTGAAGGTGTCCCGAATGATGACCTTGTCCAGCTTGTCGGCATCCTCCTTCTCAGGTGAGCTGTTGTTGCTCAGCAGGTAGGCACCACCGTAGTAGTCATTGAAGTTCTTGGGCATGTCTTCAAGCCAGAAGCCTTTGCGTCCTTGTCGGTTGCCATAGCCACCTTTGCCATAGGACTTGCTTTTGCCGAAGCCTTTCTTTCCATAGGACTTTCCTCGATAGGGTTTGCCACCATAGGATTTTCCTTTACCTTTTCCATATCCTTTGGACTTGCCTTTGCCCTTCATCGGCGTCTTGCCCTTGTAGGTGACGTTCATGGGGCACGCATGAGTGTTGTGCCACTTTGATCCACAGGTGCTGCAACCCAGTCCCATGGTGGGAGTACGGCCTTTGCCCTTGTAGTAGTCCTTGAACTCCTCTGCATTGCCATCTTGTTGAGCTTCTCCATCTTCTGCAGCAGGGGCTTCATCATCGTTCCATCCATAGTATCCATAGTCATAGCCAGGCCACTCCTCGTAGTAGGTCTCGGCATAGTCGTAGTCCCAAGGTTGCGGTTGGCTGTACCAGCCATCACCTTCGTACCAGGTGTAGAGCTCGTCCATGTAGTAGTTGGAACCATCGGCATCAGAGGACCACATGTCGGTCACCGCACTCCAGCTCGAAGCATCGTCCGTGGTGATCTCCTCGTAGTGGGCCGCATTGGAGCCAGAGTCGATGTTCCTGTGGGCCATGCGCAACATCAATGTGCGCACTTCCTCAAAGCGCCGCATGTCTCCGTGTACCTGCAAAAGCAGGTCATCCAGGAACTTCTGATTGAGCCCAGAGCTCTTGAAGTACAGGTACGTCTTGGCAACGTTGTTCAGCTCCAAGCCGCTGTGGGTCATCGCTCATTTAGGTTCAACTGCCACTGAACGCTCCACTCAGGAAGCGTCATCCGCTGACGCTTGAACTCAAAGAAGGTCTCAAGCGCTCTGGTGGCTTGTAGTTGATCTGCTTCTCCAAAGGCTGCCCTCAAAGCAGACATGAGGGCTTGCACGCCCGATGGGGTCGCCTGCTGGATGATGATGCCACTGCTTGGATCTCGAACCTCGTCGACAGATAGTCGGACAAGAGCAGCGTCGCCAGTGTCGATGTGGCCGTTGGGGTCTGGCAACCTCAATCCCAAAGCTATCTGTTGGGCACGGCCTCTAAGCCTGCCAGCTAGTAGTGGGCCGACTGACTCGTCGGCTCCTTCATAGACCCTGTACCAAAGTCGGACACGCTCCATGTAGAGCTTCAGGGGGTAGTTCACCAAGTTGGGCCAGCCGTAGATCTCGTCGTGCTCGTGGTGCGTATGGCGTGGGCACAGAGGCTAGAAAAGTCACGAGGGGCTGGAGCCTGGTTCAGCTCCGCTACCAAATTCGGAATGGCAGCTCTTTAACGGTTGCGGCCAAAAATGCACCTGCATGTGCATGGCTCATGTGGTTGTTACACATGGCAGGTGAAATGGGACTGCATGTCACATCCAAAAGTCGAGTTCTATATCATGTGATACCAGTAGTACCGCACAAGGCGGTGGCCGAAGTTTCAAACATAGGAAACCTATAGGAGAGGTTGGTTGTTGTGAATCAAGGATGGCAGAGCGAAGCCACTGATGGATTGAAAGGTGCTTAATCTCTCTCACTCTTTCTCTCTCTTTCTCTGCCTATCTACCTACCTACCTATCTATTTTCTATGTATCTATCCAGCTATCGATCTATCTATCTATCTATCTCTCTGTCTCTCTCTCTTTCATCTGTCTATCTGTCTAGCTGTCTAGCTGTCTGCCTGTCTATCTATCTATCTATCTATCTGTTTGTCTGTCTGTCTATCTGTCTACCTGTCTATCTATGGTGCAGTATCATCCAGTCTAATGTAGTGTAGTGTACTGTAGCGTAGTGTAGTGGAGTGTAGTGGAATGTAGTGTAGTGCAGTGTAATGTAGTGTAGTGTAGTGTAATTTAGCGTAGTGTAAATTAGTGTAGTGGAGTGTAGTGGAGTGTAGTTGTAGTTGTAGTGTAGTTGAGTGTAGTGTAGTGTAATGTAGTGAAGTGTAGTGGAAGGTAGTGTAGTGTAGTAGTGTAGTGTAATGTAATGTAGTGGAGTGTAGTGTAGTGTCATGTACTGTAGTGTAGTGTAATTTAGTGCAGTGGAGTGTAATGGAATGTAGTTGGGTAGTTGTAGTGTAGTGTAGTGGGATGTAGTGTAGTGTAATGTAGTGTAGCGGTGTGTAGTGGAGTGTAGTGGAGTGTAGTTGTGTAGGTGTAGTTGTAGTGTTGTGGAGTGTAGTGTAGTGTTTTGTACATTTTGACGCCACAACGGCATGCACTTTTTCGACGTCTCAACTTCCAAAAGTGGTCTGACGCTGGTGTGTTTTCTGCCTTCGAAATGGGCTTCGCGCCACAACGACGTGCACTTGTTCAACATCCGAACCTCCAAAAGTGGCGCGAACATGTGGTGCTTTGTACATTTTGACTTGGAAATGTGCTTCGCGCCACAACGGCGTGCACTTCTTCGACATCGCAACTTCCAAAAGTGGTCCGACAATGGTGTGCTTTGTACATTTTGACTTGTAAATGTGCTTCGCGCCACAACGGCGTGCTTTTTTTCGACATCGCAACTTCTAAAAGCGGTCCGAAGCTGAGGTGTTTTGTACATTTTGACTTCAAAATGTGCTTCGCACCACAACGGCGTGCACTTTTTCGACATCTCAACTTCCAAAAGTGGTCCGAAGCTGGTGTGTTTTGTACATTTTGACTTCAAAATGTGCTTCGCGCCACAACGGCGTACAATTTTTCATCTCTCATCTGGCCAGCTGGCTCCACACCCGCCGCTTTAGCGAGCCTACTTTTCGACCCTCCGGAGCCACAAATCATTGGAAAAACACAGTGTTTCGCGACTTTCCTACCTTTTCGCGCATCCGCATCTTCTTTCTTCTGACTCTTTCTCTTCTACTCTTCTCTCTTCTAATCTTTCTCTTCTCTCTGCCTCTGCCCTACTTTGCTTTTCATCTGTCCATATTGTCGGAAGTTTGACTTCTAAACTTCCTTCGATCATATGTGCATGTGTAAGTGTAAGTGTGTGTGTGTGTGTGCTTACCCATTTGTGTACCTATCTACTTCCTCATTTATTGCTATTTGGTGTCTTCATTTGCTTGTTTATTCGCTTCTTCATTTACATCTGTGAGCTAATTATCTATTCATGTATTTGTCTATTTACGTACGCAGTTGTATGTGTCTTTTGCTGCAACACGTGCGCTATGTTTGACACGTACTCCGGTGGCTGTCCCGTTCAAGCAATATGGAGTGGGTAGTTGCCACATACCTCTATATTCGATGAAGGCTTTCAAGAGGGGAAGAACTGGGGACGCTACCTAATGCACATAGGCACATAAAATGCCCAACCCTGTGTGACAATTATGTAGACGCATTGAAGACTTTCCAACGGGGAAGAAAAGGGGGCACTACTTAATTCATTCATGCATATCTGTGTGTGTACTGTAAGCGCATGAAGACCGCATGATATAAAAAGAGGAAAAAGCAGACCTCAGGTACGGAATTTCATCGCATTTTTCCCAGGAGGACGTCTCTAGGACGCATATGGTTACGTGTTGTGGTTAGATTGCAAACTATGAGAAAGCCACCAAGATTACCACACAGAATGATTCCATAAATCATCCCGAAAGAAGTTGGGGAGTAGGCACAAGTCCCGTCCGTTTCTCTCTTCACACTTCTACCGTATCCACTCCATTCATCCCCACACGTCTCCATCCGGAGACCCTTCCAAGGTCGGCACATGCTTGTGGAACTTCACCAAATCAGGGCAAGTTGAGCAGGATCCTGTGGCTAACTGATGGCCCCGCTGGACATCCCCCAAGGATGCTCGAAGGCATTTTCCACATTGCATCAGTTTCAAGGTCCCCAGATACACCCCTGGGCTCACGATCATTGGAAGACCCATTTGAGCAGCAAATCACCACTATTTGGGGTGGTGTTTCACCACCCCCAATCAACCGATATCCCCAAACTCAGCAGCTCAATGAGCCCTCCTTTGCTCACGTTGTTGGCCGTGCTGATCGCCAAGTCCATCCTTTCCCCTGCTCGGAGAGCAGAACATCCTTGCGGAAAGGTGTGGAGGCTCCGTTTGGGATGAACCTGCAACTTGCCAAGTATTGGACTGGTGAAAGTGATTGCTGACTAATGTTGTTCATATAGAGAAAAAATGTATATATATATATATACAATTATACATATATATATATATATAATATATATATATACATATATATATATATATATTTGTCTGTGTGTGTCTGAAGAATGATGTTGCTTCCAATAATGATAAATAAACATTCCAATTGAATGGATTATCATGCTGAATTTCAAGCCATGTTTTTGCCAAAAAGAATGGGGTTCCTGTCAACACTTCCCGAAAACGGTTCTAGAAGCCAAGGGTCCCAACAAGTTGAAAAAAGCCCAGCAAAGCGCGTGGAAGGCAGGGCTGAACATGTGGAGTAGTTGAACAAAATGACGAGAGTGTTGGCAGGCAATGCGACTATTACAAGCCACTTGAAAGAGCTGCAGCAGAGATGCCCACTGCAGGACCCAGCTCTTGGGATCCTTCTGACTGGAACGAGCCACAGAAGCAGCCCCGGTTCAAAGTGACAAGACTGGGAGCCCTCAAATCACTGAACTGTCGCTGAAAAATCAAAAGCACACACGCGCTGAATGTTTTTTCCCGTACGAGGCCGCATGTTTCACGTGGCGTCTTGTGGCACAGCCCGTTGCAATGTTTGGCACCGGGAACGCATTTTTCTCGTGGGGTCTGGCCCATGCAAAGGCAGAGAAGGCACAAACTGCAGGTGCAGCCTTTGCAGTCTAAAGACCACTTGGGGGTTTGAGATTCTCCTTGCACAGACCTCACCGGGAGGGAACCTGGAAGCTTTGAGGTTCAAGTGGCTTGAATTCATGCATCCTAGACTCCTAGATCCTAGAGATTTACATCTTGGAAAGGCCATTGCTAGGCAAGATCCGCAACCAGAAGAGAGCTAGCACACTGAAACTCCTTAAAAATTCGATGATACAATATATTATGCCTCAAGTGTCAGGCTGAGGAAAATGGTTCTTGTTGAAAGAACCTCAGAAAAATTGGCAATTGGAACCAAAAATGTTGGACATCCGCCCCAGGTCATATATACCCTGAACCCATCTGCTTTCATCAGTGTCATGAGTCATGTTCGTGGACGTTGAGGTATGCCAGGTATGCCATATGTGGGATCCAAATGTGGGCACGGGTCCAAACTCTGGCACCCAAATTTCCCCAAACTGGCTGGCATTTGGATGTTCATCCGCCCCTTCTGATAGTTCTACAGGAATTGACCCATCCCCAGCCCTACAATTCATAAATTTGTACAATCTCAATGGTTGATGTTTTTATCTCCCTTAAAAAAAGGCGTGAAATCCCCATTGGTCACCTCCATCATAGCAAAGTCACGGGGGCCTAGGGCCCTAGGGCGAGGGGCTGCCTATGGCCGCAAGGCAGTGTTCAAAATCTTGGGTGATCCCTTCATGCTGGTTGGTTGACATGGATTCCCACCAGGGGTGATAATAATTTCAAATAAACCGGGTGGTATAACCCCCTGCAATAGTTAGTCAACCTTGGTCGGAAATGAGAAGAAAGTTTTGCTGACTGAACTATCCATCACTACTGCGTAAATTATCACCGAGAAAGAAAACCTATGACACGGGCAAGAAAAATACAAAATAGGAGATCTTTGAACGCACAACAAAGGCAATAACCCAAAAGTACGGTCCAAAGATCACTTAGGACGACTTTTTGGATCACTTAGGCCGACAATCTTGGATGTAGATTCACACCTTCAGGGTTTATCTTTAGGAGGGGACTGGGCACAATGGGGACAACATGGGACAACTAGAGGTACAGGAGACGACCTAAATCATATTGGGGTCCATTGGCTACACACCTTTAGGGCTTATCTTTAGGAGGGGACTGGGGACAGTGGGGACAACTAGAGGTACAGGAGACGACCTAAATCATATTGGGGTCCATTGGCTACACACTTTTAGGGTTTATCTTTAGGAGGGGACTGGGATCAGTGGGGACAACTAGAGGTACAGGAGACGACCTAAATCATATTGGGGTCCATTGGCTACACACCTTTAGAGTTTATCTTTAGGAGGGGACTGGGGACAATGGGGACAACATGGGACAACTAGAGGTACAGGAGACGACCTGAATCATATTTGGATCCGTTGGCTACACACCTTTAGGGTTTATCTTTAGGAGGGGACTGGGGACAATGGGGACAACATGGGACAACTAGAGGTACAGGAGACGACCTAAGTCATATTGGGGTCCATTGGGTACACAACACCTTTAGGGTTCATCTTAAGGGGGGGACCGGGGACTGGGGACAATGGGGACAACTAGAGGTACAGGAGACGACCTAAATCATATTGGGGTCCATGGGCTACACACCTTTAGGGTTTATCTTTAGGAGGGGACTGGGGACAATGGGGACAACATGGGACAACTAGAGGTACAGGAGACGACCTAAATCATATTGGGGTCCATTGGGTACACAACACCTTTAGGGTTCATCTTAAGGGGGGGACCGGGGACTGGGGACAATGAGGACAACTAGAGGTATAGGAGACGACCTAAATCATATTGGGGTCCATGGGCTACACACCTTTAGGGTTTATCTTTAGGAGGGGACTGGGGACAACATGGGACAACATGGGACAACTAGAGGTACAGGAGACGACCTGAATCATATTGGATCCGTTGGCTACACAACACCTTTAGGGTTCATCTTAAGGGGGGGGGACCGGGGACTGGGGACAATGGGGACAACTAGACGTGCAGGAGACGACCTAAATCACACCTTTAGAGTTTATCTTTAGGAGGGGACTGGGGACAATGGGGACAACATGGTACAACTAGAGGTACAGGAGACGACCTAAATCATATTTGGATCCGTTGGCTACACAACACCTTTAGGGTTCATCTTAAGGGGGGGACCGGGGACTGGGGACAATGGGACAACTAGAGGTACAGGAGACGACCTAAATCATATTGGGGTCGATGGGCTACACACCTTTAGGGTTTATCTTTAGGAGGGGACTGGGGACAACATGGGACAACATGGGACAACTAGAGGTACAGGAGACGACCTAAATCATATTTGGATCCGTTGGCTACACAACACCTTTAGGGTTCATCTTAAGGGGGGGACCGGGGACTGGGGACAATGGGGACAACTAGACGTACAGGAGACGACCTAAATCATATTGGGGTCCATGGGCTACACACCTTTAGAGTTTATCTTTAGGAGGGGACTGGGGACAATGGGGACAACATGGGACAACTAGAGGTACAGGAGACGACCTGAATCATATTTGGATCCGTTGGCTACACAACACCTTTAGGGTTCATCTTAAGGGGGGACCGGGGACTGGGGACAATGGGGACAACTAGAGGTACAGGAGACGACCTAAATCATATTGGGGTCCATGGGCTACACACCTTTAGGGTTTATCTTTAGGAGGGGACTGGGGACAATGGGGACAACATGGGACAACTAGAGGTACAGGAGACGACCTAAGTCATATTGGGGTCCATGGGCTACACACCTTTAGGGTTCATCTTAAGGGGGGACCGGGGACTTGGGACAACGGGGACAACTAGAGGTACAGGAGACGACCTAAATCATATTGGGATCTGTTGGCTACTCGCCTTTAGGGTTCATCTTAAGGGGGGACCGGGGACTGGGGACAATGGGGACAACTAGAGGTACAGGAGACGACCTAAATCATATTGGGATCCGTTGGCTACTCGCCTTTTGGGTTTATCTTTACGGGTGGGGACTGGGGACTGGGAACCGCTGGGACCTGGGACACGGGACAGAGGGACAGGAGATATAATCATGTATCTGTGACGTAGGCCTAAGCGAGCCAAAATTTAGGCCTAAGCGAGGTACTGACCCAAAAGTACGCCGCACATTTTCAGACAACAAATACCTGATTTTTTTGTGGAGCCATTTTTTTTGTCTGAAAGGTTTGGCTCCAAAAACCAATGAAGAATCCCCATGACCCCATGATTCGCCTTCAGATGTGTGGATGGTTGCAGCCACCGACTTGGGCGAGAGCATCCGATCCTACCAGGACACAACTGGGCAGAAAATCGGCGGCTTTTTCCATGAAAAATACTGGTTGACTAACAGCAAAAAAATGTGGGCGGTATAACTATCTCAAAGATAAACCGGGTAGCATAATATAATCCACTTGAAAAAAACAAAAACTATGAACGGGTGCATTTTTAGTGGGTCACTTGACAATCAAATATACCAATGATATGATTTCATGGGATATATATATATATACATTTATTTATTTATTTATTTATGACTTACTTATTTATTCATTTATTTATTCATCTATTTAATAATTATCAATTGTGGATTGGGATGACCCCACCAAATTCAAAAGGATTGCAACTTCTTGGCGGGAGCTGCAAAATCCGAAGATATCTCCAATGACAATGAATGCCTTGTTTAACGGACAAATGATAATCAACCATTGCGTTCTAGGGAGGTTTGACCATTCTCTTAAAACAACCCCATATCGTATCATTGGTCGTTGGGTATATGCATCCCACTAGGTATATACATACATACATATGTATATATATATGAATATGCATATATAAGTATAAATGAATAGATAAATGAATAAACATAAAGAGAGAGAGGCTCATTATTGTTGGTTCCCCTGCTGTCCCATTAATTCCGAATATGTCCCAGAATTCTATCTCCATTGTATTCTCTTTTGGTTTAATCAAAATCCCGTGTGTTCCGTTCCCATCTGGTAAGTTTGCATGGCTGGAAGATCCCAACTTTCAGTAGCATTTTTTTAGATCTAAGCATATTATAATATATATATATATATAATTATATATATATACATATTTATTATGTTGTATATTTTTTCTATTGGTAAGTAAGTGTCTATTGCCATTGGTTCCACTATGTATACCCTAGACATCTTGAAGTTTGGCGGCTCGTCCTCAGGCAAAATCAACAAAGGCCCCAAAGGCTCGCTGGTCTCGGAGGTGTCTTCGAGCCTGGCGTTAGATGACCCAGGTTCTTCATGGTTTTTGAGGGTGATTGACATCACATCCACCAAAAACGACTTGGAGGAGTTTGGGAGACTTCAACTTTGGATGAATGAAATACAATGTGAGGTAATGGCATAGTAAATGATTGTAAATGATGGTAAGTACCGGAGGTGCACCCCCCAAAGATGACATGATATGTTCTTCTTTCAGGCTGGTGAAGTCTGACAATGCAGCCACATGACATGGGGCGACACAGCGTAAGGGAAACAGCCATAAGGGGCTGTCATTGTAGGATGTAACCAAGACCCATAACATCCCAAGAAATCTAAGCTGAAGCCTAGAAACAGCCCTTCCAACAAGTCTTCCAAACTCATCAAGTTCATTCCCATGGTGAGTCGAAGGGTTATCAGTCGCATGCGTCTTCAACATCGAAACAGGATCGGCTGGGCAACCGCACAAAGAACGCAAGCGGAAAAGCTCTGCTTCAGATGCCTGTGATTGTGCTTGCCTCAGTTCCACCATCGAGGTCACTTGGATTGATGCCATCCGAGTCATGACTGTCATGGTATAGAACCATCCTGCCGGGTCATGTGTCCTATGCAACGGTGTGGCAGGTCCAAAATGTTCGGCTGGCCCATCGAAATGGGATCAATTTCCCATGAGACATGACTTTCCAAAAATGCCCAGATCCAAATATCTCGTCATCATTCGTCATCTAATCTATCCTTAAGGGACCTTAAAGGACCTTGATTTTCTCGCCATTTCCACATCGAGGCACGCCTTCGCCAGCTCCTCCCCCAGCTCCGTCAAGGCTTCGGCCGCATCCAAGGAACGCTGCGACAGATCGTCCTGTGCCCGAGCCAGGCGCTGCTCCGTGTCCTGTGCGGAGGGCCGAGGGGTTGGATGGTGCGGCTGGAGCTGATTTCTGGCGTGTCCAATTAATCCAAATTTGATGATTTGTAGAACCTGAAAATTGTGTTTTTACATTGTTTTTGTATTTTTTTTTGGTCCCCTGATTTCCACAAGGTATTCCCGATATCTTAGACACTTGGGTGAAACGTGGGGCAGTTGGCGTTCCCAATCGTTCCCAAATTCCATCAAAATTGTGCTGGAAATGTTCATCGTCATTGGATGCGTGTGGTGGTCAATGGAATTCCCCAATGCTGATCCAAATTCAAGGGGTCAAGATGGTCGTGCATCTAGTCACCAATCCTCACGGACTCAGCAAATCCGCAGATGGATGAGTTATACATCTCCTCGAAATGCTGAGTTTTCCTTGCTGGTTTGCCGAAAAAGTTGGTCATGTGGGCAAAAATTGAAGACCCACCAGACCGATGTTGGTCATGATTTGAACCATCCCGTTCTGGGGTACCCAATTCTGCCCCATGTGTTTCTTTCAAGTCCAGCCTCAAGGTGGAACTCCAGCTCTTTCCTCCGGTTTTCCTTACCCGCGGGGGGAGGTGTTTTAGGTGTGGACCCGAACCTTCGCTGCACCTTATCACCATCTTGGCATGGAGAATTCCCAAAGCCGCCAGGCACACTATCGGCACCACCTGTCTTTCACAGACACCTTTGACTGTACCAAAAAACGTGTTTTTCATTGGTTTTCAATTCAACCAGAAACGCCAAGGAGCACTTTCTGCGAGCTGCTCTGCAGTGGATGCCTTCAATTCTTCCAACTCCTGCAGCTGTCATGGCAAGCCGCAAGCCCATCCCAGCCAGTCCCAGCCCTCGGAACCTGGGTGAGAAGATCCACCGTTTCCTCTGCCGAGGCGTTGAACTCCACCATCTCAGCCAGTTGCGCCTGAAGCCGGGAGACCCATTGGTTGATCTCTGCTAACATCCACTGTCATCCACTAGCATCCATTAACATCCAACCCCAAAGTCTTCACCACAGATCTCTGCCACATTCCTGCCACTCACCTGGGTCCAACTAATCCACTTCCATGCCACAGAATCTGTAGCCCAAACGACCATCAACAAAAGAAAAATCATCCCAAAAATCTCCAACCCTCCAGAATTCTCAGCCATCTCCAGCCTCCAGGTGTCGATTTTGACTATCCGTCCTCTGCTCCAACTGATTCAGGTCCTCCCCTGCCGAGACCAGGGCCTCCGCTGCATCCAGCTGTTCCTGCTCCAGGTCACCCTGCGCCTGCAAGGCGTGCGGATGGTGGAGCTTCATTGACAAATTGGTGGGGTCCGTCCATTCGTCCGTTGACAAATTCATGGTTCATGCTTTCTTTTGGCATTTTTGGCATGGGTGCGCACATTGATCATTGCAACCAGTTTCGGGACAACCCCCGGCCAAACAACAATTAGCGCACTAATCCTTCTGGCCTCAAGCTTCTTGCAAAGCATGCAAAGCAGCATATATTGACTAAAGACTCCAACCATACATGTGCCCGACAAGACCAGATCTAACAAAGACATGCAGTGCACCGCAAAACCCTGAAAGATGAGCAATTGGTGCTCTGGTTGTTTCCGTCAACACGTCCAAGACAGCGCATTGAGCGGTTGGCAATAACCCTAATCAAGACACTGATTGAAAAAAAACAAGAAAACAGCCCTTGTATGGCAACCAAAGGGAAAAAACAACACAGACTGCTTCTTCCCTGAAGCCTGGTCCAGCTGATCTTGAGTTTCCTCCAGCTTCTTTTGCAACTCCTGGGGCTGAGAAAATGATCGAAAGGGGATGGTCGGTCCTACCCAAAGACTGGGTCAATCTCTGAATATTAGGGGAAAAAAGGGAAGTTTCTACATGAGCCGTCCCTGGCACAGACTGCACATTATCTTAATCATGTATAATCATGTCTCAACATCTCTAACAGTTTAACAACATGCCGTTGTTGCCTGAAGAAATCCAAAAATGACAGCCCTCGCCCCAAGGGGCAGCACCAATAGCCATCCCCTCAGCCCATGTCACCTCAATCTTGGCTTCTTGCGCCTTTATCTTGGAGTCACCTCAGGTCACCATGATTCCAACTTGCATCCGACAATTGCAGCGGTTCAGCTGCACATAGCTGCACATACCAAGCCACTCTCCGAGTCCTGTTTGGCTCGGGAAGAACTTGCTGCAGCCTTCCAAGAAGCCGTGCAAGGTATGGCGTCCCCACCACCTAAAGTCAATACCAGACCTTTGCCTTCCCAGACCCTGGTCCTTTGAAAAATGTTCCAGATGCCAATCTGAACCCACCCGATGATCACCTCCCCCATCGCCTGAAGTTTGTCTTTCAACGCTTCCTTCTCTGACAGGGCCTGATGCCAAAGTCGTCGCCATCTGCCGTGAAACTCGCACATCTTGACTCAAAAATGCATGTCGACGGGAAAACACTATATAAGATGTAGCTGTTCATAGTGTCTTGGGGTCAGATGTTCACTTTCCTGACATCTTTTGCTATGACCGCCGTGACTTCTTGAGTGTAAATACGGTTCGCATCATCCTTCAGGCAACAACTTGCTTCTACACTGAAGCCCGGTCCAGCTGATCTTGAGTTTCTCCCAGCTTCTTTTGCAACTCCTGGGGCTGAGAAAATGATCGAAAGGGGATGGTCGGTCCTACCCAAAGACTGGGTCAATCTCTGAATATTAGGGGAAATAAGGGAAGTTTCTACATGAGCCGTCCTTGGCACAGACTGCACATGATCTTAATCATGTATAATCATGTCTCAACATCTCTAACAGTTTAACAACATGCCGTTGTTGCCTGAAGAAATCCAGAAATGACAGCCCTCGCCCCAAGGGGCAGCACCAATAGCCATCCCCTCAGCCCATGTCACCTCAATCTTGGCTTCTTGCGCCTTTATCTTGGAGTCACCTCAGGTCACCATGATTCCAACTTGCATCTGACAATTGCAGCGGTTCAGCTGCACATAGCTGCACATAGCTGCACATACCAAGCCACTCTCCGAGTCCTGTTTGGCTCGGGAAGAACTTGCTGCAGCCTTCCAAGAAGCCGTGCAAGGTATGGCGTCCCCACCACCTAAAGTCAATACCAGATCTTTGCCTTCCCAGACCCTGGTCCTTTGAAAAATGTTCCAGATGCCAATCCGAACCCACCCGATGATCACCTCCCCCATCGCCTGAAGTTTGTCTTTCAGCGCTTCCTTCTCTGACAGGGCCTGATGCTAGAGTCGTCGCCATCTGCCGTGAAACTCGCACATCTTGACTCAAAAATGCATGTCGACGGGAAAACACTATATAAGATGTAGCTGTTCATAGTGTCTTGGGGTCAGATGTTCACTTTCCTGACATCTTTTGCTATGACCGCCGTGACTTCTTGAGTGTAAATACGGTTCGCATCATCCTTCAGGCAACAACTTCTTCTACACTGAAGCCTGGTCCAGCTGATCTTGAGTTTCTCCCAGCTTCTTTTGCAACTCCTGGGGCTGAGAAAATGATCGAAAGGGGATGGTCGGTCCTACCCAAAGACTGGGTCAATCTCTGATATTAGGGGAATAAGGGAAGTTTCTACATGAGCCGTCCCTGGCACAGATTGCACATGATCTTAATCATGTATAATCATGTCTCAACATCTCTAACAACATGCCGTTGTTGCCTGAAGAAATCCAAAAATGACAGCCCTCGCCCCAAGGGGCAGCACCAATAGCCATCCCCTCAGCCCATGTCACCTCAATCTTGGCTTCTTGCGCCTTTATCTTGGAGTCACCTCAGGTCACCATGATTCCAACTTGCATCCGACAATTGCAGCGGTTCAGCTGCAGCTGCACATAGCTGCACATACCAAGCCACTCTCCGAGTCCTGTTTGGCTCGGGAAGAACTTGCTGCAGCCTTCCAAGAAGCCGTGCAAGGTATGGCGTCCCCACCACCTAAAGTCAATACCAGACCTTTGCCTTCCCAGACCCTGGTCCTTTGAAAAATGTTCCAGATGCCAATCTGAACCCACCCGATGATCACCTCCCCCATCGCCTGAAGTTTGTCTTTCAGCGCTTCCTTCTCTGACAGGGCCTGATGCCAGAGTCGTCGCCATCTGCCGTGAAACTCGCACATCTTGACTCAAAAATGCATGTCGACGGGAAAACACTATATAAGATGTAGCTGTTCATAGTGTCTTGGGGTCAGATGTTCACTTTCCTGACATCTTTTGCTATGACCGCCGTGACTTCTTGAGTGTAAATACGGTTCGCATCATCCTTCAGGCAACAACTTGCTTCTACACTGAAGCCGGTCCAGCTGATCTTGAGTTTCTCCCAGCTTCTTTTGCAACTCCTGGGGCTGAGAAAATGATCGAAAAGGGATGGTCGGTCCTACCCAAAGACTGGGTCAATCTCTGAATATTAGGGGAAATAAGGGAAGTTTGTACATGAGCCGTCCCTGGCACAGATTGCACATGATCTTAATCATGTATAATCATGTCTCAACATCTCTAACAGTTTAACAACATGCCGTTGTTGCCTGAAGAAATCCAAAAATGACAGCCCTCGCCCCAAGGGGCAGCACCAATAGCCATCCCCTCAGCCCATGTCACCTCAATCTTGGCTTCTTGCGCCTTTATCTTGGAGTCACCTCAGGTCACCATGATTCCAACTTGCATCCGACAATTGCAGCGGTTCAGCTGCACATAGCTGCACATAGCTGCACATACCAAGCCACTCTCCGAGTCCTGTTTGGCTCGGGAAGAACTTGCTGCAGCCTTCCAAGAAGCCGTGCAAGGTATGGCGTCCCCACCACCTAAAGTCAATACCAGACCTTTGCCTTCCCAGACCCTGGTCCTTTGAAAAATGTTCCAGATGCCAATCTGAACCCACCCGATGATCACCTCCCCCATCGCCTGAAGTTTGTCTTTCAACGCTTCCTTCTCTGACAGGGCCTGATGCCAAAGTCGTCGCCATCTGCCGTGAAACTCGCACATCTTGACTCAAAAATGCATGTCGACGGGAAAACACTATATAAGATGTAGCTGTTCATAGTGTCTTGGGGTCAGATGTTCACTTTCCTGACATCTTTTGCTATGACCGCCGTGACTTCTTGAGTGTAAATACGGTTCGCATCATCCTTCAGGCAACAACTTGCTTCTACACTGAAGCCTGGTCCAGCTGATCTTGAGTTTCTCCCAGCTTCTCTTGCAACTCCTGGGGCTGAGAAAATGATCGAAAAGGGATGGTCGGTCCTACCCAAAGACTGGGTCAATCTCTGAATATTAGGGGAATAAGGGAAGTTTGTACATGAGCCGTCCCTGGCACAGATTGCACATGATCTTAATCATGTATAATCATGTCTCAACATCTCTAACAACATGCCGTTGTTGCCTGAAGAAATCCAAAAATGACAGCCCTCGCCCCAAGGGGCAGCACCAATAGCCATCCCCTCAGCCCATGTCACCTCAATCTTGGCTTCTTGCGCCTTTATCTTGGAGTCGCCTCAGGTCACCATGATTCCAACTTGCATCCGACAATTGCAGCGGTTCAGCTGCACATAGCTGCACATACCAAGCCACTCTCCGAGTCCTGTTTGGCTCGGGAAGAACTTGCTGCAGCCTTCCAAGAAGCCGTGCAAGGTTGCCGGTTTCGATGCGTAAAGGCCCTTACCAGTTGCTTCCCTTTTACAAGAGATGGTGGGATATTGAAGTTTCCCATGTGTCCCAAGTTTGGGAGCTAGCTAGTCATCCTTACCAACAGGAACCGCACAGAAAATGAAAAGCGGACTTCAATGCCAAACCCACCATTTAAAGTCTATACCAGACCTTGGTCCTTAGCCATCTGAGACTCCTGGTCCTTCGAAAAATGTTCCGGATGCCAATGTGAGCCCACCCGATGATTGATCACCAAGCATCCGCCATCGCCTGAAGTTTGTCTTTCAGCACTTCCTTCTCTGACAAGGCCTGACGCTCGAGTTTTCGTCATTGGCATCAAACCGCCAAAATTTGGCGTGAAAGCTTCAAATACGAAATTGATGACTGTGCCAAGAAGGAATTTTGAGGATTTTGTGATGTGGATTCCATGGTTTTCATGTTGAAGGTCTGCGATGCCCTGCTCCATCCCCATGATGACCATCCCCAGTTTTCAGCAGGTGCCTCAGCCAGTTGGGCGTGAAGGGACTCTAGCTCCCGTTCAGCCGCATGCAAGTCCTGTTGCCTCGGATCAAGGTTGATGGCCATAGGCTGACAACTGATCCAATCTACAACTCTTCCAACAAGACAAGCTCGAACCTGCCACAACTTGGAGGATATAGAACAGCAGCCAACGGGGACCACTGGCAAGTCAATTCATACAAATATGTGCCATATGTGTGTGTATGTTTATGTATACATATATATGTATATATATACATACATATATATATTTATACATATATATATATCAATATATATATATATATAGTGTGGGGGTGTGTATACATGCTCTTGCAAGATGGAAACAGCTAGAATCGCAAAACCCAGGGTGAAGGGAAGAACTTGGCCACAAGTTGTTTGGCCACGGTGCATTTTTTCATGTTTGCTTTGCAGCTCATCATGCTCCACGGACAGCACCTGGAAAGCAGCGGTGGCATGTTCCGACGAACCACGGGATTTTTGCTGCAAGGCTTTCTTCTTCCTGTCTGTGGGCCGCTCAGACAAGAGCTCTTCACAGACTAAGGTGATCTGCTCCTGCAAGTGAGTCAGGGCACGCTTGGTTGCTCCCAACTGCTTGGGACATTCCTCTGCCACTGCCTTGGTCTCTAGCTCTCGAAGCGTGGAAGTAAGGTCCTGGGCAACACCCTGCAGCTGGTGGTGGAACTGTTTCTTCTCTTCCCGCACTACCAAGAGCTGCTCATCATCTCCGGCTTCACACAGCTGGTCCACCTCCAATTGCATCGTCTGAAGCTTTTCCAGTTTGCCTTTGAACTCATCCCTTTCTTCTTCGATCCTGTGCTGTTTGGCAAGTTGCTCTTGGTGCCTGGACTCTTCCATTGAGGCATCCTTTTTGAAAGCCTCCAATTCCGACCTCACAGCCACCAGCTCATCCTCCCGAGCCCACAGCTTGGATCTCAGCTCTGCAAACTTCTCTCGCTCTTCCTCTGAGGTCCTGGAAGCTTTGGTCGCCTGCGCTGCCTGTGTTGCAGCCAGCCGTGCGGACTCTTCCAGCTGCTTGACATAGGCACTTTGCTCCTGCAGTTCCTGGACCTTACTTTGCAGCTGTACCTCCAGCTCCATCTTCTGCCGCAGCAGGGAGCTATCAGCCACCTGGGAATTTTGAGCCAAGAGGTCTTCCATCCTCCTTCTGAGTTGCAGAGTTTCCTCCTCCAATAGCCTCTGCCGTTCATCGCTCACAGACCTTTGTCTGGCCATCTCATCATTCAC